GAAAATATATTAGCTATTTCTGTTGATGATTAAACCCACTAAACTTCCATGTGTTTCATATTCTAAGTGGGTATACTCGTACAGCCTCTGACCTGACAGTCACTTATTTTAAATAACCTTAGAAAAACAATTAAGATGATGACGACAATTTACCTAGTCATTAAGGTGTATATTAAATAATGTTAAGTAGGTTACGCTTATTTTCCTGCTACAATTACGTGTTTGGAAAGATTTGTTTTATAGTTTAAACTTTATAAAATACTCAAGTTTCCTTATTAAGCAAACAATAGTTTAGGAAGTAATTATAACAATAAGTTATTGTCTAAGAGAATAGCAGTTGATCATAAAAACTGCATAGACTCGTGGCCCGTAACCCACAAAAACAATTTGGCCTTGTTACTGACCGCCAATACGAATGCTTCACTGGCTGGGAACGACTGGCTTGTGATGATAATTCTTTGAGCATTAAATTAACGGATTATACCAAATTTTTTGTATATTATGAATCGGAACGAAGAATCTGGTTAGTTTTTTTTTGCTTGGAGCACACATTAGATCAAAGCTTTTTTGGCCGTATAACTACCTAAGTATTCTTAGCATAACGAGGGGTATACGAGTATTTAGACACTTTAAATATAAATTCTTGTCACAAAGTACGGACATAAACTTAAAACAATTAAAATGAATATCTTAGATAATGCCCTATAATTCTGTGAAATAATAACATACCTTAGAATAATATTTAATTTTGGTGTACTATACCTGGTTAGTATATGTTTCAACATTAGTGGCGTTAGTCACGTGTTGTCAATCCTATATTTTATGAGACAGAACTCGTTTTCTTACTCGTCAACTACAACACTGCTCTAAAAAATAAAGCTGAATTTGAACTAAATTAAAAAAAAAAGTGTGCCCAGTTTGTGGTCTGTAAGCAGAAACAAATTTGATATTTATAATAATAAGAGTATAATTATGTAAGGAGGAAGAGAGCAGGAAAACTGCAGAGAGAAGGAAAAACTTGACACAAACCCTATACCAACCCAGTCTGGCCAGCGTGGCATAGTAGGCCAAAACCTCCTTTCTAAGGAGAGGCTTATGTCCAGCAGTGGACTGTTAAAGGCTGATGATGTATAATTATGTAATTAATTATATGGGTACTTTAAGAAATCTCTTCAATGAACGGTTATCTCACGTTTTAAGAATATATTCACTAGGTTTAATATAACCGCAGCAATCGCTGACTTTACTCTCGAACACCTTAGCCCATTAGCTTATTAAATTGTTGTGTTAATAGACAAAACATTCCTTACCTCTACTGTGTTAACAATTACAGTTGAAAGGTGTGATTTGAAATGGCTACGCTAAATTGGTAATTAAAACGTAATGTTTGCTTTTGGAAACTAGATATTTGCACGCATGACTACGTCTGTCCAGTAATCGTCACGCTCTCAACATGATCAACGTTAATACGACCAAAGGACGATCTAAATAGGCATGCTTGCTTTAATATTGCCTTTTACTGAATACCATATATGCAGTGCTGCCAACCTAGTGGATTTTCCACTAAAACTGATTGGTTCGACCCCCTTCTTAGTGGCGAAATTTTACTTTTAGTGGCTCGTGGATTTTTAGTGGTTAGTAGTAATAGTAAGATTGTAGAGGGCTAAGGATATGCTGTTGAAAGATGAACTGTGAGAACTGTTTGTGTACGCAAACCTCAAAAACGTTTGATAGGAAATTAAGGATGGGGATTGTATAGAAGTGCACAGGAAGAGAAAAAATATTAATTTTAGGCAAATGGATGATGTAGACTTTGTGCCAGAGAGAAGAAAAGTTTTCGGAGTCGAGAAAGAAGTCAAAGATGTGGGCTATAACTTCGAGGACGCAAGCCAGGATGGTAAATGTCATCCTACGATTGAAAATCATTTCGTTACAACAGACAGACAAAAGGCACAGGAGAAAATTCAAAGTTGATAATTTTTGGTCTGGGCAGACTAGCGATATAATTCCGGGTCTGACTCTATGTTTAATGATCCGGTGGAATATCGGACGAGAACTGAAGATTGATATCATTCCAACCAATTAAACTTGGTTCGATGTTGTCTATCAATTCGCATAGGGTTATGGAAGTTCCACTTACTAGAGGTATTGCTCTTCAAAGATGGGCATCTGGCAAGCGGGCCAAGGAACTTCGACATTTGAAGAATTAGCGACCTTTGGTATTACTCTCTCAAAACTGCCTCGTTTCGATGCCGATGTTAAGTTGAGATACGATAGGTTTAACAGAGGAATAAATAAAAATACGCAGTGGTTTAAGTTGGAAGGAGAACGCTGCAACTAATATGAAATTCCAATAAAGTTGTAAAAGAAATCGCTACCAAAGAATCCTGTTAATCTGGAACCGACGATGATGGTGCTATTAAAAACGATGAGTATCAGTATTCCATTTTAATAAGATTCAATACACTAGTTGTTAATATACTTATGGTTTTCTTTGCACATTGCAAAATTAAGTAATGCCGGTAAAGTGCAGTCTATGGAGTGTTGACCATTCTTATCAGTCTAAGTCTAAAGGGGTGTCAATGTGATAAGTTATCACATTGAAATTCCTTCGTGCCTCGGAGAGCACTTTAAGTCGTCAGTCCCGGTTGCCATACGAACATTAGTGGCAATCATTACGGGTAGTTGGAGCCCTCAAAAGTCCGACAATAGTCTATCTACAGAACTTCGTTATCATCTAGTAGTTGGGTCGTAAAGGTCTGATGGCAGTCGCTCCACGTAAACAACCGAAATTCAGCCATTCAGCCAAATTCGTAGTAGACTTAAGGCGACCCCAACCTAGTTTAGATAAAGGCTCGGAGGATGACCGAATACCTTATACTTAATTTTAGGCTAAAAAGAAGAGGTAGGTACTTTTCTGACAGTGGCATAACCTGTAAGAATCGTTTCGACCGCATTAAATGTGATCTCTATGATCTCTAGGTCCGCGATAGATTAATACTTCTTTGAGATGGCATGTGTGACACTGTTTTTTGTGGTATAACAGTATGTATACAGTACAAACATAAGTCTCATTGTTGTCTGTTAATTTAATTACAAACCAGTTTTTATCTGCGATCGATTTTGTCCCTGAAAATTGTGTACCTATCTCTTAAGTCTTTAAGAGCTTAATCTAATTTACGAATTACTACACATTTGAAGTAATACAAAATTGTTCACTGTTCATTGTCCTACACTGACTTAAATCTTTTTAATGGTTTATGTATTTTTACACTATCTTCCTATAAAGTGTCATAACCAACGACAACTTTAGTGTTCTGATGAGAGACTAACTCATACTCATACATATATGGCAGTTAATTTTCTTTGCGACGCGTTTATTTTATTATTTCAAAGATCTTGTCCATAGTATAATACTTAAGAAAATCTTTAAAATTCTTAAAGATCGACAAGCACATTCTTGACAACCATTGGTATTCTTAACCCGAATTGATCTGAAAGTAGACTGAACGCAAGTTACTAATGCGACCAATATGTCTTTATCCTTACAAATCAATCATTGTGTTGTTAAATACTAAATCAAATATTGTAATATCAACATATTTAGTACGCTATATAAGTAATATTTATCGGAGCAAACACGAATGAAGTATCTACTAGCAAGTCACAAGTTGCCAATGCAATAATCTGAGTGCCTTGTGAGTTGTGACGTTATTCAATGATAATAAGCTAAAGTTGCCCTTATTTCAAACACAAGTGACCTAGAAAATAATTGTTCAACCGAATGAGACGAATAAAATTTCAAGCACAAGCATGAGTCCCCAACTGACCTTATTATCGTTGAGTAATTTTTTTCGTGTCTATAGATCTATTATTGGTTTGTGACTAATGCCTACTACTTGCAATTTATTTTTTTCTTAAATAGAAAATCAAAAACTTATTTAAAATTTCCAAATTTTGAATTTGAAGCCGCGTTGAATGTGAATTTATTTTATTACTAACTTTGCCCGAATGGGCCTCGTTGAAAATGGTAAAGGGTATCCTATGTGTTAATCCTTGTCATAAATTATCTGGCTGTCAAATTTGATACAATTCCGTTGAATATTTTATGGGTTACAGGAGAAAAAAACATCTATCCTGACAAAACTCGGGTTGACTTTTAACTCTTGACGATCAGCCGTAATCACGACTTTCGATAATCTAATGATTTTAACTTTAAAAAAGAAACTGATGAAGTCAGTTTTCCTATGTACTAAATAAATAGTATTTACTTAATAAAATTTATTGAAATGCTGGCGTGCAATATATACCGTGACATTGCTGATTGAGTACCTACGATACAAGTTTTCAAGTATCAAATATGGTGCGAGGTTGACGCAATATAAGAACTCAGTTAACGACTAAACGAAACGGCCACCATGAGCGCTGATTTATTTCTATTTTATTTCATGATTGGATCGAATTATGTCATGTTGACATTCTTTTGCGTACGATATTTTATTGTGATTGCTTATGATTCATAGTGTTCGTGTAACCTTTTTAATGATTTATTCTTATTTTAGAGGCCTTCATTGCCTATTGAGGATCTTAGTGTTCTTGATTTCCGGTGATGACGTTGTTAAAATTTATATGTATACTTGGTATAAGTGTTTGTTGCTCTTGTCGCTTGTGGATTTTAAAAATGAGATCTCTGTCTTTTCAATTTGTTAAAAATAGGACACTACAAAAAACCTCAAACCAAGTCTCCTCAAGTCAAGGGTCTGAGGACATATTAAAAACGAATCTTTTTCATATCTCACACATACAATATGAATTTTATTTTTTCCTGCCCATAAAAACTCAATGTTATATGTATACTTACCTACCCAAAAAACTAAATCAATTTCTTTCATAGGTCATTTGAATTAATTAATGAGTATTATAGTTATATATTATTAGTTTAATAATAATTTGTTTTTTTTTTGTTTGTAGAAACAATCGGAGCATAATAGACCACCAACATGGGGGCCATGTTCCGAAGCGAAGAGATGGCACTTTGCCAACTCTTCATCCAGCCCGAGGCGGCTTACACCTCCGTCTCCGAGCTTGGAGAAGCCGGTAGCGTGCAGTTCAGAGATGTAAGTAAATGTTTTTTAAATATTTCGCTAATGCTATTCTTCGCTTTCATTCACTCATCGCAAAGGAATTACATTTTCCTTATACCTGATGCAAATCGAACGTACAATAATGTTTACTAACGAACTTGTTGGCAGATAAACCATAATAATGTTGAAAAATACAATTCCACTATTGTAGTGGAACTGGTTTACGTTCGTGAAAATAGTAGAACAGTGAGTGGCCTGATAAATTGATCAATTACACTAATTAATCGAAGTTTTCGTGATCTCTATGCAGGGCAAGCGGGGTAAAATTCCTTCTTACCGGGAAGTTATTAGGGGTAATCATAGATCCATATTATATTTACGAATTCTTTTCTTTGACATATTTTCATAAGTTTAGAGACCCTAAGTAAACACAAGTGCGAAGTGCAAGAATTAAGTACTAAAAGTGCGAGTTTCCTAAACCTAGATTAGAATTCTTAGTCGAGGCTCCCGAAAGACGAAACGCGATGTGAGTGGAAAATGGTATTTACGGGAAACGGCAGAAAAGGCCATTGATTTCCGATCCGAGGCCGATCACCGCAGTTAATAATGTTTCAGCGTTGCGGTATGAGTTTAGGATAATTTTTAAAACAAAACACGAAATTTTTGAAATAATTATAAAACATATGAATAGCTACGTGTCAGATATAGCAAAACAAAGTTTTATAATTGAATAGCAAACCAATTCACTCGTACTGCACACTGATAGTAGAATGTACCTACCATATATTATTATTTGACAACAATTCTGTCATAATGTATCATCCTGCTACCTCGAAAATGTGGATTGAAAAAGTGCAATATTTAGTTACCCAACAAGTTATTGTTTTTGCGCAAAGTAGCGTACCAAAAACCAAGTGTTTTTAAATATTAACTAAAATACTGGTTAAAATCGTTTGTATGAAGACGGTTTACGATCTAGGTAAAAGGCAGAAAACAATTGTCTAATTTAATTTAATTACTTTAATTGACTTAATTTAGGATGCGTAAATAATTACACAAAACTGCTTTATTAAAAGACATTTCTAAAATTATTTTTAGCTATTTATATTTAAGAAGAGGAAATGTAGTCATGTAAATTTGTTAGTTAACGCAGAACACGATATGCAGACACTTAATAACGATCGTTATATTACTACTAATTAAAAAAAAAACATTTTACATCAAAATATGAAAATTCACACGGTAGTTTTAGGGTTGATCGCGCTCGACACAGACTCGGGAGGACTTGTTTTATTAACCGCCTTCAAAAAAGGAGCCGGTGCTCAATTCCTGTTACAACAGAACTCATTTCTGAATTCAGTTTGTTACAATTCATCATAGAAGCGCACTGAAGTCGATGATAATTTATAAAAAGTTAATTATACCAATATTATGAAGCTGAAGACTGTTTGAGCGCGCTAATGTCAGGAACTACCAGTTCCAACTAAAACATTATTTTAGTGTTGGATGGCGCAGACGGAGTTGCGCAGCTCAGCAAGTTGTAATTTAAATGATGTATGATATGCAATCACTGTCAGACAATACGTGAGTTTTAGTTACCGGAATTAATATCTGCTTTACTCGTAGGGGCGTACCACAGAAACTTGATATGGCATAAAGTAATAGTTCATGTTTGAATGATTGTACTAAGCAAAAACTGAATTTTCTGTAAATAAAATATAAGACAAGACATCATAATGATCCTACTTTAGCACACAAAGGAAGCTCGCGGCAAGCGTGTGCGACGTATTTACACATTGGCGCGTGCTTGTTCCCTACTGCTCAATTTGATATTACAAATATTGTAGTTGAGCCGTCGGGAATAAACATTAAGTCTCAATGCTCAACTGATTGAGCAGTTTAGTTGAGCAGTAGGGCTAGAGAATGATTTTTTTTAGTTTAGTGCCGCCATTTATACTTTAAATAAAAATATGTCCACGTCTGCTATGTTTGCCTGTCCGGAACACAATAGCACATTCGCAAGCTTGTAAATGGCATCCAAGCGTTTGTAAAGGCTTATGGACGTTTGCTAGGCCTCGGCACGCATGTAAACTAGACATGAGAGGTTAAACTTAAGGAAAGTGCCCCGGAAAATGGCATGGTTAGACGTGGTGTAGATTCGGGGAGGACCTGAAATCACATAGTTCGGGTCCTCTCCAGAGTAGGGCGTCTGAGGCCGGCCGTTGGGGCGGGTTTTAGTAGAAACACAACATACTCCTTGCGCCTGCGTACCCAAGGAGTCGGAGATACGAAAGAACTTTTCACCTCGTCAACAATAAAAAAGAGACTTAAGGTAAGAGATGTATAAGATGTAATCGTATAATATGATAAGTGGTAATACGGCGAATATGTTTATTGTCTGACTAAAACAAAATACCTAAATTTTGCAAGCCGCTATTGGGCCTGATACTTGAACACAATCCAATAGGATGGTAAAATTAAGCTGGATTAGCTTAAGGCACATTAGATAAAGAAAAGACAGAAGTCGAGGGAATAAAAATAAGGGCTAAGGTAGCTTTAGGACACTGCTTGAGCCGGCCAACCCAGCTTGAGTAATGAGTTACGTACCCCGTCATATGTAGGACCTCTAAGACAAAAATATCAACCGGCCTGTATATGGTATACAAAAATATATAAAAAAACACATTATACAGCCATCAGCAAGAAAGCGTGAGTGTTAGGTACCTTGCACACTCGTCAAGTCGTCACATAAGGTTATCGAGGTACCAATAGTGGTAAATTGGGCTACCACAAGGTGTTCCGCAAGGTCTTTTGTTACTTGAGGTGAAACTCACGCGCATACATTATCTGAACCAGTCTTTCTGCATTCGTTCATACTTTATGTGAATACTATTCTAATATGTTTCTACATGTTAGCAAGCATGTGAGTTCTTGTTACTGCGCCAGTCATGGATGCCTTTGTTGTAATATTTAAATGAATAATAATAATGGACTATAAAACGACTGGCCTCTTGGTCTAGTGCTTATTGACCGTGATTGCTGATTGATAAGTCAGAGGTAGTGGGTTCGATTCCCACCCAGGACAAATAATTGTAAAATGAGCACGATCATTTGTTATGTGTTTGGGTGTAATTGATCTATAATATGAGAGATGTGTGAAGTTATTTTTAGTTATTGTTAAAATAGCTGTTAACCGCAGTTTCATATTTAACCGAATATGTTTAACAGTTTATGTACTTATATATTACACAAATATCTTTATTATGTACCCATCATTCGCAAAATAAATGATTTGATTTGTTTCGAAATATTCTGTACATTTGTATAATGCACAATAAAACCACATTTCAGATAGCTTAATCAATAGTCTTTAACACTGAACTTTTTAACGAAGAAATTAGTTACACTATAATACAAATTGCATTATATATGCAGGAAGTGCAAAACATAAAGATACCACAGTTTTTTGTAATGTACAATACTTCGAGAACTCTTAAAGCAATATTGTATTGAAGCGAACATATCGTATCAACCCTTCTCATATCACAAAATAACAACATCATTCTACAGTCATAAATAAATGGTTACTAAGGAAAGTATATACAAAGGTACATATCACTTTAGGTAACCTTGTTATGGGGAATGCTTATAAGATTTGTAATATCATGCTGCAGCGAATAAGTGCAAAAGCAGTGGAAGAGCAAAATAAAAAAATGTCCTGCACAGTCCACCTACTCATCATCATCAACAGCCTTTAATAGTCCACTGCTGGACATAAACTTAGAAAAGAGGTTTTGGCCTACTATACCACGCTGGCCAGACGGGTTGGTATAGGGTTTGTTTCAAGTTTTTCTTCTTTGAGCAGTGCTGTTGTCCTTCGTAGTTTGCTCCCTTAGTAGGATCTAGGACACCCACACATACACCTACTACTAAAATAGTATATTCCATATACAAGACTTTTGTTTTAGTAGAATATCATCATCATCAAATCATCAGCCTTTAATAGTCCACTGCCTTTAATAAAGGTATGATAAAAAGAAATAATTTGCAGCTTATAAAGATGTAATGTGCACGAGCTGCAAAGATGATTCGTTTTGCCCGTGGCGAAGGTTGCTGTCTTATATGGTTATACCAGTTACCAATAAACCAGTTTCTTCCTACCTTGAATACAACACATAGAATGGGAAGTTCAAAAGATCTTTTTAATCTATTGTGTTATAATATAATCCTTTACTTTTTGGTCAAATGGCGCAACCTAACTAATTAAATTCTCATTGTAATCTTTTTAAAACAAATATTTAATTTGAAGATATACTCACATATATGCGTCATTTTTAATTTAAAAAACCTGATTAATCTTTACCATATTATGACCTCGGCATTCAGGACATACTTACCTATCTTCTAAAATTGTATAAATTACTAAAACTTGAAACAAATAAGTTCAGATTTTATAAAAGTTGAACGGACGTAAATATAAAAAAAGTTTTCGGACGAATCAGAACTTTCTATAAATTACAATTTTTTACACGCTGAAATATCAAAATGAAAATCAATGCCGAAAACTTAAGCGATAACATGTATGACAGCATATTATTTATGTAATTGATGTAAACCATGTACTCGTATATGTTTACTTTGTGTTGAAAATATGGTAGTAGAAACTTTGCAATTATTAGGTAGGTAGGTACTCTAGTAAATTTCATTTAGTAAAACAATAAAGTTTTTTTTACCGCATGTAATTATCGCTGGTTATTATTAAGATGGTTAAATTAGTTCAACAACTCTAGGAATTCTGCCGACCTTGCCATGTCAATTCTTTTGTAAAGTATGTTACTGTGTAATGTATGTCTGGTAATAGATACAACACATAAAACTAGTCTTCGTTAGCTTCCAAAAACACTATAAAAATAGTCATTCGCTCTTTAATTCATCTACTTGTTTTTCTTATTCCTATATATACTAAAGCGACCCCACAAAGAATATATACCTAACGCCATTTAACCTGAATTATGTTGAATATACTAATTAAGAATTGCGTCACTAAATTTACGTAAATTCACAAATTAAATTTGGTACATAAAATAGCAATCTCTACATCAGATGAACACATTTGAACCACTGCTTTGAAATGGAACTTACTTTGTGCAAAAATTGCTGTAATTACAGAAATTTGACTATTAGACATATTATATTATATATAACGGCTTCTGTTTAACAAGGGTTCCCCAAAACATTCAAGCAATTAAATTATAGGAATACTATCCATGATTATGTGTCGCAATAACTTTCAACCTGCTACTTACAGTACCTATAGTAGCATAAGTAGCATTTAATACGTGGCATTTTATATGTATTAGTTTTCCTCTAATGCCGCTATATGCTAGACTATTTTTGTGAGACACCCTTAATAAATTATTATCTCAATTAGTTCAAATGTCAAGAAATTGAGTCTATAACGAAACCTTCGTGTAAAGGACAGAATTTGAGTCAATAAGTCAGAAGGTTATGTACTTCCGGCGGTTACTAAAATGCACAATTGCATGATATTGATGTCTGAAGAATGTAATCAAGCATAAGCAATTACGGGAGTACGAGTATTTAGATTACGTCTAAGCGGCAAATATATAATAAATATTTATAATAATAACAGTGTGTTCATCCAAAATCAGTTTGATAGAATAAACGAAAGTAGGCTAATAGTTTTACCTATTCACTTTTAATGTTTGTGGTTGTTATGAATTTCTAGAAAAACAATAACATAACAATTATTATTACATCGAAAATAAAAATATGTCCAAGTTGTTGGGATTGTTTCAAGTTTTCGTTCTCTTTGCAGTGCTGTTGTCCTACGTAGTTTACTCCCTTAGTCAACTCTTACGACACCCACGGGTTGAATAGGGGTGGTGACACTCTCTATTCTAAATCCGTCACCACACGAAAACAAAATTATGTACTTATTAATAATATTGTATAAATATTGTTTTAATATGCATATAATCGGTAGGTTGTGTATTCTTATTAATAAATCAATCTTCAATAAAATATTTAATTGTGTAGGTATTCGTATTTATAATACACCCATTAGCTTCACACTCTGGGCATACCTACAAAATGCTGCGCCTTTTATAAAAGTCTTTCTATATCGCTAAACCGCTAATTTTATCTTGATTAAGTACAATAATACAAAACTTAATGTCAATAAGGCACTTAATTATATCCCTGTGGCATTAATCAAACAGGTTCATTTTTGATCTGATGCCCTTTTAGTAAAACTAACTGTTTGTGTTGCCTTTTTTTTTTTTTTTGTTGACGGGGTGGAAAATCCCTTCGGATCTCCTGCTCCTCGGGGCTAGGAGCTAGGAGTATGTGGTGATTCCACTAAAAACCACCCCGACGGCCGGCCTCAGGTGTCCTACTCTGGGAGGACCCGGACCATGTTATTTCAGGTCCTCAACTGTTTGTGTTGCCTAGAACTATTGATCCGTGTGGTGACGGATTAAGAATACAGAGTGTCACCACCCCTATCCATCCCGTGGGTGTCGTAAGAGCCGACTAAGGGCGAAAACTATGCAGAACAACAGCACTGCAGAGAGAAGGAAAACTTGACACAAACCCTATACCAACCCGTCTGGCCAGCGTGGTATAGTAGGCCAAAACCTCCTTTCTAAGGAGAGGCTTATGTCCAGCAGTGGACTATTAAAGGCTGTTGATGATGATGATGATGATGAGAACTATTTCTGGAAAATGACATCATATAACAATGACTTTTTGACATTTCTGTACCTACTTACCCACACCAACAAGAAACGTGGTTCTCAATATAATTAATATTTAAAGAATACACACATAATCTATTAGACGTCTAGACATGTCGAATTATACACCATTTCAATATGTTAATAGTGACACTCCTTGCATACCTAAACTAACGTCATCTAGACATGGCAATGCTGATCATTCTTTAAAAAATTACGTTCGCCTTGTCCTAGATTACCTACTAAACAATTTGCATTTAAAAGTTTATTTGCGTACAAATTTCGACTGAAGACTAACTTTCACCTTAGTTTGTATTTGTTGTGAAATTTATATTATTTCTTCAATCATGTGTATTATTTATATAAACGAATGATCTATAAGAAAGTAATTAAGTTTGAGGGATTTGAACTATTGATTATGGATGATGGACGCCTTTCTTATTTTGTCAGTGTGAATATTATCCACTCTCTTCCCCGATCTTCGATGTCTTGTCTTTTTAGGAAGAAATTTAATAGTTAGCGACACAGCTGAAATAATATCTATTGCAATTTGGTAACCGACAAATAAAAGTGATTGAGACTGGACGATAATAGACCATTAAGATCCAGTGTTACTTTCAACAAAGAAATAAACCATTTTAATCATGGACGTATTTACTAAACACTATTCTGAATTTCCAGTTAAACCCGGATGTCAACGCGTTCCAGCGTAAATTCGTCAATGAAGTGCGTCGTTGTGATGAAATGGAACGCAAGTTGCGGTATATTGAAGCTGAAGTGAACAAGGATGGGGTGCACGTCCCAGCCGTCAAAGAACCACCTAGGGCCCCCAACCCCAGAGAGATCATCGACCTAGAGGTGAGATTGAGATTTAAGTTCTAAGGGAAGGATATGCCAACAGGCTTTTTGATCCTGACTCTGCCAGAAGTCGTGAGTTTTATTCCCATTAAGAACAATTATTCTGGTTACCACTGCAGAGGTTCTGCTAAGTTTGGGATAAGACAGCCATATTTAAAAATATAAATTACTATTATTATAACTTCAAGTATTCGGCAACTAAACTTAAAACAAATTAGAATTATTTTTAATCGAAAATGCAATTTATCTGTCAGAATGATATGCCTTCAGTTTTAATTAACCTCCTTATTTTACCTTGCGGTATCTACACTTACTCAAGAATGCAAGTATGCATTCAAAATACTATCTTTGTTTACGCTTTATATGCACTATAGAAAATACATTATAATACAGTAACTAAATAGGTAAATAATATTACCTATTTATTCACACGAGAGTAAATCAATTAGGAAAAAATGGGGCAGATACTTTGTCTTGCAATCTCAAGGTCACTTAAGACTTCCTATTTAAATTTGTATATATTCTTTTCTCATATTTAAGTATATTTAATACTCGTACTTAAGTATATAACGAGCATATTTTTTCTGATATGGATTCAATTTATTCGGTGCTAGATTACTTTATTTTGATTGAGGGACCTTTTAATTGGTTTTGTAATTTTTACCCTATCAAAATCGTAAGGCTTGATAGTTTTTAATCCTGGGTGCTCGGTTTATCTTGCAACAACTCTATAATTTCAAAAGCATTTGTTACCGTTATGAATATTTCCACGATGTCTATGAACGGTTTTGCCTTATTACATCTCGTCTTTTTGGCAGAAATAACAACGTGTCCTCACTCATCAGATATAATACCACATATTTGATAAAACGGATGGCGCAGTGGTTTAAGCGGTCGCCACGCCGCTTTCTACTGCGCTGAGTGTTGTGAGTTCGATCCCCACATGGTACACCACTTTGTGTGATCCACAAATTGTTGTTCCGAGTCTGCGTGTTCTTTGTATGTTTGTTAAGTTCCCCGCGCCACAGGATATATATTCCTAATGCGGGAGTTGTCTTTTAAGAAAGAGAAAGAGATATCATTTATAGAAACATAGAGAATTTATGACTTTTCTCTTTCAGGCGCACTTGGAGAAAACCGAAAATGAAATACTGGAGTTGTCACACAACGCCGTGAACCTAAAACAAAATTACTTAGAACTCACGGAACTTAAACATGTCCTTGAGAAGACCGAGGCATTCTTCATCGCGCAAGAGGAGATCGGCATGGATTCCATGACTAAGTAAGTATCTATTTAATGTGACGCAGAGTACAGATAGGTCATTCTATTTCTTTCCTGAGCAAGTTTTAAAGCGCCTATTGTGCCGATGTGCTACTTACTCATTCTTCATTTGACAACCATTTCCATTCTACTGAAAAAAGTTTGGAAGGTTTAGCATAAATAATAATAATATTATCGGACATCTAACAGACAATGCCATCTAGTTTCAAACTAAGTCATAAATGTAAGTATGAGGGGCAAATGAGACGGGTCGACCGATGGTTAGTGACTACCCCGCCTATGGACAACTATAACTCAAGAGGCACTAGTGTTGCCGCCTTTTGAGCCATGAGCCCGGTTCTTGGGCCCGGAGGTTATAGGCTCCGGTAAGTCAGTTACTCTGTGAAAAGCAACGAAACAATTGCTTAGCACCGGTTTTCCATAAAACCTTGATACAGTCCGATGCAAACTTAATGGCCGTTCGGAACATCGTGTGTTTCGAACATACTCGCATATTCCTGTCTACGTACAGTGGACTGTCTACGTACTCGACTTGACTGTAGGTACCTTTTTTTTTTTTTTTTTTTTTTTTTTTCGGGGGGAAATCCTCATGGACTGCCTCCGCCTGGGGAAAGGCGGAGGGGCGTGCCGGACTCTTACCGGCTAAAACCACCCCGGTGTCCCCTCACACATGCGCGCGGGGCCGCGGGAATCCAAATTCTTCCGCAGCCCCACACTAGTGCTGGCCCGGTCTGTCCGGGCCTCGTCTCCTGCACGGGGTAGTGAGGTGTTTAACTACCCCGGGCCTCGCCTCAGAGGCGCGCGCCGACACCCGCGCGCGCCTCCGCCTCGGGTCCAACGGATAGGGGGCGGGGACTTCCCCAAGTCTCTCGCCCCTGGACCCATTCATGGGGGCCGGAAAAGGGCGTTATCCGCCCTTCTCCTGCGCCCGGTGCGCCTTCTGCGGCCGGGGAAAGGAGTCGAGATCTCCCTCTCCCGTTCCGCAGTTTCCTTCTGCGACATCACGTCCTCGCAGAAGGACACCACCGCGTCCCACGACTCTGCGCTACCGACCATCCTCCGCACTACGGCCGGCAGCGACAGATCGCCTCCTACTTCATTTGTGAGGATACGGCGCTGCTCCTCCCAAGCTACACACTCGGCGAGCGTGTGTTGCGCCGTGTCCTCCCCGCAATGGACGCAGTGGTGGCACCGAGCGTCCGGCTCCCTGTCTATGCGGCACAGGTACTTGCCGAAGCAGCCGTGCCCCGACAGCACCTGCGTCACCCTAAACGACAGGGAGCCGTGCCTTCTCCCGAGCCAGTCGTCGAGTACTGGCCGGATCGCCTCGACGGTAGCGAGGCCGGCGGTAGGGCGCAGAAGCCTTTGCCGCCATTCCGCCACCAAGACCTGACGGAGCTCCTCTCGGCGCAGCGCGATATGCCGCTGCACCGGCCTCGGGCCACGTGCCCGCTCTTCCTCGCGCCATCGGTATAATGACGCGAGTACTTTCGCCTCCAGGTCCCAGGGCGGGGATCCGGCCAGGACGCAAGCCGCCTCGTAGGAAATCGTGCGATACCCGCGGACGACTCTGACGGCCATCGCCCTCTGCGGTTTGCGCAGAATGGCGAGAGTGCTGGCCGTCATGTCCAACGCCCACACAGGGGCCCCATACAGGGCCATGGACCGCACGATTCCCACGTACAACCGCCTACAGGCGGCGCTCGGGCCCCCCAAGTTGGGAAGCAACGTTGAAAGCGCGCCCGCTGCACCCATCAGCTTGGGCGCCAGCCGCCGGAAGTGGGGCCCGAATTCCCATCGGCTGTCGAGCACCAATCCCAGATACTTCATGGTGGACTCGACAGCTATCCGGGCCCCGCTGACCACGATGTGTGATCCCGGCGCCGGCGCACGTCGGGGGCCATGAAACACCATGGCCTCCGACTTGTTTAGGGCCACCTCCAGGCCCAGGCGCCGGATGCGGTTCACCACCTGTGACACCGCAGCCGTGGCTATCAACGTCGCCTCCCTGTGCGAGCTCCCCCGGGCAGTAACAAGCGTGTCGTCCGCATAACACGTCAAGTCGGCGCCCGACGGGAGCTCGCCTCTCAGCACCCAGTCGTAGCCGATGTTCCACAGGAGCGGTCCCAAGACCGATCCCTGCGGAACACCGCACGACATGAGGTGCCGACCAGCACCGTCACGTCCCCGATAGGTGACGCATCTACCCTCCAGATAAGCCCCTACCGTACGGCGGAGGTAGGGAGGCACGCGATGGTATTTCAGAGCCTCCCGAATACAACTCCAGGGTAGGGTGTTGAATGCGTTGGAGATGTCTAAAGACACCGCCAGCACCACCCCACCCCGGGACACTGTCTCCTCCGCCAGGGCCCTCACGCGCATGATGGCGTCTATGGTGGAGCGCCCCCGACGAAAACCAAATTGGTTGTCGTCCAGGTCCGGCCCCTCCCTGCACAAGTGGCTGACGAGGCGATCTGCGATAATACGCTCAAAAAGTTTGCCCGCCTCGTCGAGCAGCACTATGGGCCGATACGCGGACGGCGAGTCCGCGGGGCGCCCCTCCTTCCTGAGCAGGACCAGCCTCCCCTCCTTCCACACACTGGGAAACTGACCCTGCTCGAGACATGCCGTGAAGAGCCCCCTCAGCTGGGGCTCTAGCTCCTTCAGAGCCAGGACGAGAGCTCGACCAGGAACTCCGTCGGGTCCGGGCGCTGTGTTCTTAGCCCGGAGTCGCGACACGGCCGCTCTCGTCTCCGCTTGCGTCGCCTCGGGGACATCGGTGCTCTCCTCTTCTGGAGAGTCTGTGGCTGAGGGCGGAGCCATCGCCGGGGGAACGTGTCCCGCTCGCTCAGGGAAGAGGGCCGATACCACCGCCTCTAGCAACTGGGGTTGCATGCTTTGAGTAAGTGGAGGCGCCCAGGGACGCAACTTGCCCCGTACCCAACGGTAGGGGCGCCCCCACGGGTCCCGATCTAGAGACCCCAGCAACTCCTCCCTGGCACGCGACTTAGAGTCGCCGATGGCCAGCCACAGAGTCTCCTTGGACGCGCGGTACACCTCATACAGCGCGTCTTCCTCGACGGAATCCCGTCGACGTCGTCTCCGGTATCGCGTGTACCGGCGGCGAGCCGCAACGCACTCAACGCGCAGCCGAGCGATCTCGTCGCTCCACCAGTACACCCGGCGCCTTGCGGACTGTTGGCGGACACGGGGCATGGACGCGTCGCATATCTGCGTCATCGCCCCGCGAAACCACAGCGCCACCGCTTCGACGTCGACGGGGCCGTCCGTCGCCGACTCCCAAATCCAGGACTGGACTAAAGCAGCTTCCTCGAGTAGTTCCTTGTCGATGCGCTTAAGCGCCCAACGCGGGCCGTCGTTAATCGGGGTTGTTGGATGGCGGCCGCTCGCGGTCTGGGCAGAGACGTCGAACCGGATATACCGATGGTCCGACAGTGTCTCCACCTCCACGGCGACACGCCAGTCGTGGACTCGGCTGGCGACAGAGGGGCTAGCGAACGAGACGTCCACTATCGACCCGCCCCGCTGCCGCACGCACGTGTATTCCGAACCCCGATTCAGGACGACCAGACCAGTCGTCACCGCCCACTCTTCTAGCGCCTCGCCCCGAGGGTCAGTGACCGGAGATCCCCACGCCGATGACTTGGCGTTGAGATCTCCGAGCACCAGAACGGGACGAGGGTGATAGCGGCCTACGACGGCGCCCAACTCGACAAGGAAACCCTCAAAGTCGGCGAGACTCTTGTTGGGGGAGAAATACGCCCCCACAATGACGATGCCGCCCGAGACCGCAGCAACCCAGCCGCGGCCCCGAGACGGGTCGATCAGAGTCTCGCCAATAATGGCCACCAAACCGTCAGCGCACCCCAGCCAGCTGTCACGGGCGGGAATGAAGTACGGTTCGGCGACCACAGCCACGTGGATCGACCACTCTGCCATGCTCTGGAGTAAAAGATCCTGAGCTCTGGCACAGTGATTGATGTTGCCCTGGAGGAAATGGAATTGTGCCATTATTGACATTCCATTCCCTCGGCAACGGTCCTGGGCCGGGAGTCGGCCGCGGAGCTACTAGCCTGCGGGGGCGGCGAGGTTTCCCCGGCAGGTTTAGAGCTCCTCTTCTTCTTCTTCTTGGCCTTGCTGGCAGGCGCGCCACAGGCCCCTCCGCCCACTTTGTGTCCCGCTGGCTTCCCTGCAGCCGAACATAAGCTGCAGTTGGGCGCCGCGGAACACTGGGCCGCCTTGTGGCCGGGCTGACCGCAGCGATAACAAAGGTCACTACGGTCAACCTCAGCGGTGCACTTTGCCCGGACGTGCCCCTTCTCCAGGCACCGGAAGCACCGCAAAGCCCGGGGCTGCAGGAGTTTCACCCTCGCCGCAACCCAGCCAACCAGCAATCTGCCGCTTAAGGCGATCTTCTTCGCCGACGCTACAGGGCACCGAACCCAGACCACGCCGAGTCCGGTGGCGTCGGTGCGTATATCGCCGGCCCGTATCTTGTCCTGCGAACACTCTCCGCTTCGGGCAACGGCCGCCAGCACCTCCTCAGAGGTCACGGAGTCGTCCAGACCAGCAATTCGCACTTCTGCGGTTTTCATTGGCCTGGAGACCCGGACGTCCTCGGGGTTGAGGACCTCCCTCATCTTGGCGGCCAGAGCGTCCGCCTTTTCGGCGCTGCCGCTCGCAGCACCAGCCACCTCGAACAGCCGCGCACCCGTGGCAGCCTGCCTGAGGGTGACGGACTGAAGACCAAGATCTGATAATTTGATCTTGGCCTTGGCCTCGGCAATGACCGACTGGTACGTTACGCCGCGCTCCGCAGCCCCGGGCTGTAGCGTGAGCGTCACCGCTTCGGAACGCGGAGCACGTACCGCCGGCCCTTTGCGACCTCCTTTGGCAGTCCGCCGCGCAGGCTGCGCAACCGCCTTTGCTTTGCCGGGGGCGCGCGCTGTTGCTGAGGCCACCTTGGCGGCTTTGCGGGCCTTCTTGCGGCCCACGACTGTCGCCCAGGTCTCACCCTTAGACCCGCCAGCCGTGGGCTGATCGCTCGATGGGGCTCCGCCTTCCGCGGGCTTCCCCCTCGGAGGCGTAGGTCTCGGCGGCTCCTCAACCCTCCGCCGTGCATCGGCCGCTAGGGGTGGACGGAGGACTTCCGCAGGGAGGCGCCGAGAAATCGCCTCCATACGAGCATTGACCATGCTCCCGCACTGGAGCATGCAGAGCCGGACAATGCGCTCGACCTCGTCGTCGGTATGAGTGCTTGCCGGTCTCGGTACGGGAGCCGGGGCCAATGCATCTGTGGCATCTCTGGACGTGCGTCGCTGCTGCTGCTCGCTCAGCGCAGCGACTTGTCGCCGGAGGTCCTCCAAATCATTTCGGAGACGGCTATTTTCCTCCTGTAACTTCGCGACCTCGTCTGAGGCCGTCCTGTTAAGGAGGATGCCAACCGCCTCCTTAATGTCCGCGGCAGCCTCCTTCAGACCGCGGGTGAACGTGCCCTTTAGGCTGCCGGATTTGGTGGCAACCTTCAGGACTAAGTCCACCCCGTCCAAGGCAAGCTGAGTTAGGGCCACCGCAGATGGTTCCCCCCCTTCCGCCGCTAGAGCAGCGCGTCGCTCGCGTGCGCGTCGAGCCATTTCCGACACTTCGTCGGCCGCGACGGCTTTGCGCTGCTCTCTTCTGGTGGCGTTGAGCTCCGCCTTTGAGCTCCCTAGCGAGGCACAACTCTCGCCACCAGGCTCCTCGGTAGTGATCCCCATGTCACTCTCTGCTTCGCTGGCCGCCGGTGTATTGGAGCGCACGAACCTACCCTGTGCGTCCCTCCGCGGCCTTGAAGCACTCACCCCTCTCGAAGCCTGCCGACCTCTCCTTGCGGTCGGCAACTTCGGGGCCAGCAGGCCTTCCTCATCTGAGGACCGATCCACCGACCCACCTCCCACCAGAGCAGGGTTGCGTGGACGCTTCCTAATGGAAGACGGTCCAGAATGACTGCTTCCATTAATATTTTCATCACCGCTTACGCGTCCGAGGCCTCCTCGGCTCTCGCTGCCACATGTGGCAGATGGCTCTCCCGTCTCCTTCCTCATCTCCGCCGAAACCGGCCCATCATCATTATTATTTTTTATTGTATTATTCTTATGCATGTGGTTCCCACGAGTAGTGGAGGAAATAAAAGTCCACCCCGGCAGTGCCCCGTACCAGGGTAAGCCTAAATACTGTAGGGGGTCGGCAGGTACCCTACAGTGGAAGCGCTAACGACTGGTAACCCCACCAGCCATTCATCCCATCGCCGCGCCTCGAAACTTAGGATTGGGGGTTTTTTATCTTAGAGGTGTCCTTCCTCTGGGCCGGGCGGTTAAGCCAAGCCCCCGACGGCGGCACTATACGTGCCTCCGTCCGCTGTCCGGCCAACCCGATTCAGCGAACCCGCCGGAAGCTCTCCCGCCAGGAGTGATCCGTGGAGAGAGAGCAACTACCGCATCGGTGCGCCTGCACCGCAGCGGCGTTGGCCACGTCCTTTGCCAATCGACGACTGTCGATCGGACAGGAGCGACCCCATCTCCGACGTTCCTCCACAGAGCCCTCTGTAATCAGAGGGACACGTGGAGCAACCGTCGTGGAGCAAATATGCTCCCCACTCGCAGAAATTCGCCACAGACAATAGCCCCTCCAACATGGAGAGAGTATTGCCTGTACCCAGGGTGCACCGGCCAGACAACTGCTCCTTCCCCCGAACGTATTCATGAGGAACTAGCAGCCGTCAGGCACACGAGGAGGTTTTCTGCACGCACCCCTGACTGTAGGTACCTGGGCAGACCTGTGTGTGCAGCTAACTTCGGAGCCGTTAATGGCATTTGCATCGGACTATATCACTAAGCTTGAAATGTCACTAACTTTTATTTCTTTCTCTCTTTCTCCTATATCTTTTTGAAAAAAGTTATACATAATGAAAAACAATGTGCTTTAAAGGTATGGTGTAGTTCAAACCCAATGCTAGTTATTAAGGCCATAATAATGGGAGATTCACCGTTCCGTCTCTTTGTCAGCTCGTTGCGCACTAATAATTCGGTCATCTCTGATCAGATTCACATAGTCGGTACCTGTTTTAGTTACACCATACAGATAATGCGGGCGCGCCGGTGGAGATATTTTAAATTATCAATAAAGCATTATTTACTATATGTGATTTCGTAACGTTACCAAATTAAACCAAACCAATGTTATAATATGTACATCTAATCAATGTTTTACCATCAACATTAATTTCTCGTGTATTTACATTTTCTACACTTTAAAATTATAATATAAACATGCAAAAAGAAGGTGGGGTAGAAAGCATAGTCATATTCACAGAGCAAAGAATATATATTATTCCATTTCTGTGCTCATATTTATTGAAGTAAATAAAAAGTAAAAAAGTAAATAAAGGTATATAATAAGTTTAATAGTTGTGTGAATAGCTAAATCGTGTCACGATAAATATTCAATTCACGTTGCAATGTAAAACGTAAATGAGAACATAACGTAGAATAATTAGTATACATTTCCACAAGAAATGGCGTTCAATCTTTTTATAGATTCAGTTGTAAGTTAATATTGAAATCAAATGTTTTGTAGGAAAAACAAAGACCTAATGATTAGGAAAATAATAGGAGGACGTCACTGTCATGACTTCCTCACAATGGTACACTAAACAAAATAACTGCACAAATGGCGTAGTGACTTAAGCGGTCATCTCGCCGCTTTCTACTACGCTGTGGGCTGTGAGTTCGATCACCATATGGGAAAACACTTTGTGTGATCTATAAATTGTTGTTCTGTGACTGGGTGTTCTTTGTGTCCATTTCTTAAATATTTGTAAAGCCCCGCGAAACAGGATATGTTCCTATTGCGTTAGTTATCATTAAAAACAAAATATATAAAAAGGAAATCGACGAAAAATTCGGCTGAATATTCGGTGGATAAACTGAATAAACAGACACGTACCTACTACATATCTGTTTCTCCAGCTTCGAAATTGCACGGAATCTTGTATCCGGCAAAACCAGTACTAGTTTCATGTAGTGTAAATCACATGACATTCCCCCAATCTTTGACTTCGATCGCTCCTGAAACTAGTTTCATATTCCTAGTGATACATAAGAGTGACCTAGTTTATCAGTGTGTAATGTTACGTAACTTATAACAACGTAGACCATTCTTCAAAAGGATCTGTCTGGTCTGGTCTGGCGATCCATACTCTTTGATCCAGTCAGTCTCGTAAATATGATCCGCAAATCTTTGTGAACCCTTTTAATTATGAGAAGGGATGCCAATATGTCGTATTTCATTGTAAAGTGTAGGTGTTGTCTGGTAGACCCGTCATATATTAAAGTTCTACTTCTCAATAGGTCACTAATAGTCGACGAGGCTGGCCAGCAAGCCGCTACTCGAGGTCGTCTAGGCTTCGTAGCTGGTGTAGTGCAGCGAGAACGAGTGCCGGCCTTCGAGCGCATGTTGTGGCGAATTTCTAGAGGCAACGTGTTTTTGAGGCGAGCTGAGCTTGACAAACCATTGGAGGATCCGGCTACTGTTAGTACACATTTTCTATCCTGATAAGTTTTTTTTAATACGTTAATATACTAGGTAGATGTTCAATGAGAAAATGTCGTTATTCTATATAACTATAGCTTAATGTGTTTTAATTAACAATTATTTATAAATTGTTCTATAGGAAATAACATATTTAGATATTTTTTCTAAACACATTCATGTATGGATGCGAAAGTTCCCATTGAGTGGAAATATATTCCCAACGTGCCACTGATATAGACAAGTATGTATATGTGTATATTTGTGTATATTTCGGCCCTTTTTTTACAGTAATATTTACTTTCCAGGGTAACGAGATTTATAAGACCGTGTTCGTGGCGTTCTTCCAAGGTGAGCAGCTGAAGTCCCGCATCAAGAAGGTGTGCACTGGATTCCACGCATCGTTATATCCGTGCCCACCATCCAATACTGAGCGACAGGACATGGTCAAGGGAGTCAGGACCAGACTCGAGGATCTTAATATGGTATGTTGCTTGAATTTTTAGCACGGTTATACGTAGTTCTGTGCATTTTATATCGATTTAAATTTATTCAACAGGTATCAGTAATCATAATCCTAACAGTACACGTAAAGAATCCAGATTCAGGTAATCTAAGTCTAAGACAACACATTAAAAAAAATCCTTTACCTGCAGGTATTAAACCAAACTCGTGATCATCGTCAACGAGTCCTTGCCAGTGTAGCAAAGGAGCTAGCAAGCTGGTCAATTATGGTTCGCAAAATGAAGGCAATCTACCACACCCTCAACTTATTCAACATGGACGTCACAAAGAAGTGTCTGATCGGCGAGTGCTGGGTTCCCACTGCCGATCTACCGAATGTGCAGAAGGCTCTAGCAGATGGATCGGTAAGTTCCTCCTCTTTTTCCACAGATCTTGTAAGTTGATTTGATAAAGTAAACTTGAACAACTTGAAATCCTTTTTGTGTTCAGAATGCGTGCGGCAGCTCCATTCCATCATTCCTGAACTGTATAGAAGCCGACGAAGAACCTCCCACGTTCAACCGTACAAACCGCTTCACTCGCGGATTCCAGAACCTCATCGACTCTTATGGTGTAGCTTCCTACAGGGAGTGCAACCCAGGTACACCAAAAGAATTTAATATTTTTAGAACAACGTTAACAGGCTTCAGGCAGGTACTTTAGTTTTAATGTAATTGATATAGTCCAGTGAATAACGGTAAAAATAAGGTGCAGCCTCCCAATTTTTTCAAGACAGATGGATTTTCTTGAAAATTGGGAATTAAGCTCTACTTAACTTCCTCTTTAAAATCTAATTGACTCTTAGGGGTGAAAACTATCCCTAATTGACAAAATTGATAAATTCATAAATTTAGGCATTTAACGAATGAAATATTGTATGTAGCTTTTGATTAAGATAATTTTTTAACTAACTTTAATATAATTTTTTAAAGATATTTTTTTTTACTTTTTTAAATAACTTTTGATTAAAGATACAATAACCATACCCTTTTTTGCAATTGCAGAATATAATTTTTTAAAGTTCTTGTTGTGCTGGATTATTCTGCATTACCGTGGGTATAAAGGACTCTTCAATTTTTGTCACCCCCCAATCAGTTGGTTTCATATTTTTATTTCCCAACCAAACTTGAATCTGCAGATAACATCGTTTCGTATGCTCATTTCTCGGTTGCATTTTGGACTAGATAAAAGAAAACCATTATGTAGAGAATTTTAGAGCCTATAAGCTCATGTAAGTTTCATATTCCATATTAAATCCTTTATTTTATAAATTTCATACTAATGCTAACTTTGACAAGCCATATCTCAGATAATTTTTGAGCAACAATAAAAAAAAAAATTTGAATAACAATGCTAACTTTTTGTACTCTAGCAATTATAGTTAATAAAAAACAAAGATATAATTTTGATCATTACAGTTTTTTGAAATAATTTTTTTTAGTTATTTGTGAAAAACCATTAAAAAACGTGGTTTTCGAAAAAATATTGACGTTTTTCGATTTTTAAACATCCTTAGAACATTTTAGCTTAGAATTCATTCCTTTATTGATTCCTGGTTTCTTTTTTCCACTCTCTTGTAAGGGTAGTATTCACTCCAAGCGAAACAGCATAGGGTAGATTTTACTTTTTGAGGTATTCCTTACTTATTGTCAAAATTTCAGCAATACCCATCTTACTTAAATAAAATGGGATCTAAAAACCGCCATTCGCTGGACTAATAGGCATCTACTTTATTATTATCATAATTGTTAAAATTCGGCTGCGGCGAATAAAAGGAGGACGACGGGCTTTTCTTTTACAAAACTTTGATAAATGTTAGACCACATCGTATAACTTCTTACACCCCCACAGTGTAACTAAAATTATTTGTTTTCTTTCAGCTTTATACACGATCATCACTTTCCCATTCCTGTTCGCTGTGATGTTCGGCGATTTGGGCCACGGTTTCATCATGGCTCTTTTCGGAGGCTGGATGGTCGCAAAGGAAGTTTCCCTCGCAGCGAAAAAGTCGAACAATGAAATCTGGAACATATTCTTCGCCGGTCGTTACATAATTCTGCTTATGGGTTGTTTCTCAATGTACACTGGATTAGTTTACAACGATATATTCTCGAAGTCCATGAACATATTTGGATCGTCCTGGACCATACCTTATGATAATGAAACGATGAAAGAAAACGCAGCTTTAACGTTGGACCCTGTAGATTCTTATATTAATGTTCCATACTTCATCGGTATTGATCCCATTTGGCAGGTGAGTTGATAGTGATGACCATTTACAAATTTAGCTTATGTCAGATTTTGTCGTAGGAATGCTTTACCAAATTTGAACCGACACGACCGAAGAGGTATCACAGCCTTAAAATGTACCTTTATTAGTTTCCAACACCCGAATGCTAATTATCTTACTATGGACTTTCAAGTTTGCTTTCGCGAACGGTAAACTATGCTTCATTGTTATTTCTTTCTTCTTTTTGTAGACCGCTGACAACAAAATTATCTTCTTGAACTCGTACAAAATGAAGCTCTCCATCATCTTCGGTGTGCTGCACATGATCTTTGGTGTCTGCATGAGCGTCGTCAACTACAAGTAAGTTGTCCCAACACTAATTTTACAAACATATGTTTGTTAATTTTATGAACATTTATTTCTTAAAAATTTAGAGGAATTGTAAACACCTTGTATAAAATTGTTAGAGTATAATTATTAATACGTACAGTCAGTAAAGTTCTTAATTAAAATTAAAACTTATTATTACTACTACTACTACTTATTACTTATTTAATTAGATAATATTTACATTAAAACGTAATACCAATTGAGGTTTGTGGATGTGAAAAATCCGAATCTCTACTTATCGAGTACAAAAACTGAGACACTTGTTGTTGACATTACCTATTGTTATGTGTACTACAAAGCTGTCGACTAATGTCTCTGATTCAATAAATTATATAGTAAAATATAATAAAAGTGTAAGTGTAAAAAAAATATTTTTAGTAGTTTTAAAAAATTGTTGTGTTTTAAGGTTAGTTTGGTTCTGAGGGCCAAGTGCAAGTTTATATCACATCGACTCGCTCTCGATGGTGAGCGCGTTAAGCGTTGGGATTGGTGGAGATTTCATTGCGAGCCAATCGTAGCGCCGAACGCGGTCACCAGGATGATCGAGTAGAAGTGAAATAAACTTGCACTTGGCCCTCTGAAAAATATTTTATAGCACTTATCTGCTTAACTTCTTTTCTGTATTTCTTTTTCGTTTCTGTTCACCAGACTGTAGGGTTTAGATAGCTACTTAAAGATAATATTTTTCTAAACCGCCATAATTTTTAGCTTCTTCAAACGTCGCTACTCGATCGTCCTGGAATTCTTACCGCAAGTGATCTTCCTGTGCCTGCTCTTTTTGTACATGGTGTTCATGATGTTCTACAAGTGGGTCGCTTACAGTACTTTCTCTGAAGGTCAGTATTGACAGCTATAAAGTATTCAATTTCTTGTAGCCTTTTTGACTTATACGGCAATGTTATATGATATTTATTTTTTGCGCTTCAGACCAAGCTTACACACAGGCCTGCGCTCCATCAGTGCTGATTCTCTTCATCAACATGATGCTATTTTCTTCGGACACCCCCGAGCCTGGCTGCAAAGAGTTTATGTTCGAAGGCCAGGGTCAAATTCAAATGGCATTCGTACTTGTAGCTCTTTGCTGCATCCCTGTCATGTTGTTTGGCAAACCCTTGTATTTATTAGCTGCTAGCAAGAGGAAGAAGAACGTCAAGGTATTGCTGCATTAAATTATTGTTTGTGTCTATCATACTTTCATTTATAACTCGACTCACTAGATTCACTGAGGTATTAAATACCTTATCAGGGTATAACTATAGCCCTTGCATAGACAAAAGAAATGATAGTGGAGTTGACGTGTTTGTAAAACTTATCTACTTCTCCCACAGCCGGAAAATTCAAACGGCAGCGTAAACCCAGGTATTGAAATGCAAGAACAAACCGACATCACCGAAGAATCAATACCCAAGCCTGCGCCTAAAGAAAGTCATGATCACGACGAGGAACCATTCAGCGAAGTCATGATCCACCAGGCCATCCACACTATTGAATATGTGCTCAGCACCATCTCTCATACTGCGTCATATCTACGTTTGTGGGCGTTGTCACTTGCTCACGCAGGTAAATCATATTTGCTGACTTCTATATACATAATATATTATCTTTAGTATTTGGTTTTAGGAAATCAAGTCCTATGCATATGCGGATTATTTTTTATTAAATTCCTTAACGTGGATACCTAATCACAACTGCCTTGAAAAACGTTAAGTAGTACTTATTTCTGATGTTATATTTGTTATAAAATTTTCCGCACAATATTTTCTATGGCTGTCAATGCCATTTTAATATGACTTACATACATTTTTTGCAGAATTGTCTGAAGTATTATGGAACATGGTGCTGACATTCGGGTTGAAAGATCACAATTACATCGGCGCCATCAAGTTATATGTGGCGTTTTGTTTCTGGGCGCTGTTCACACTCGCCATTCTCGTCATGATGGAAGGTCTCTCTGCCTTCTTGCACACCCTGCGTTTGCACTGGTAATTGTGATATATATATATTTAGTGGAGGCGGCCTAGAGTGCTTTTTCAGCCTACGAACTTCTGGCTGGAATCTTTTACAATAACCAGAGTTTGCTACTAGAGACCATTGTTCATCTCTAGAATAGAATTTTTAGTTTTGGTTAGGTCTATTAGCAATGTTGACAAAAAACCACACAACTATTATTTTTTAACTTATAAATGTAGTATTACATTGTAATACACGGTGAATTCATGCCCAGTTAACTCAGCCACTAAACAGATACCCAGACTGCTGATAAACATCTATCATCATCTCACAAATGTGAAAGTGAGTTTAGTTTTTTTGTAACGCTTTCACGCCTAAACCACTAAACCGATTTTAAAAATTCGTACGCCAATGGAAGCCTACATTATCCGCGGGTAAAAGCTAATACCTTAATTTATTATAGATAAATTATACCCAGACAGAACTAATGATCATGCTGATCACACAATATTCGTTTCACTCAGGACATACAATCCTATAACTATCCTTTTGGCAAGTCATCCACTGCTTCATCCCCACAGACCTAAATAACAACTTGTAAATCTAATCTCATATTTTATTTTAGGGTGGAGTTCATGAGCAAGTTTTACACCGGTCTGGGATACATTTTCCAGCCCTTCTGTTTCAAGACCATCCTCGAACAAGACGACAATAAGGATGACTAAGAAAGAAAAATCTTATTAAAAAATATTTCGTCATACAGTAGTTTAGATAGACAGTATTTTTGAACATGTTTCAATTAAAAAGTTGAAAGTATCAAATGAATTAAAATAAAATATATAATGCATGTTTTAAAATCAGTTTTATTTGATATTTACAATAAATAATGGTCCTATTCCTGTACTTTAAAACTATATTAATTAAACAATTCACCCAAAAATAACTTTTCAGAATTTTATGTACTTACTCTTATTTTTAAGTGGCTAATCACAAAAAAGCTTCAAACAACTCTTGACGTATCAATAACCTAATAGAGGCCTTCGATAAAACATTATTATGCAAAATTTCATTTAATATCACAGAAATAACAAGAATTCTAAATACATTGGTATAATGATTGATTAAGAACACTGTTAACAAAAGTGAATAAATTAAAAACTTTTTTTAATATTCACTGGATAATTAGCTACGACAAACAGCTTTAAACAACACTTACGATTTTAAAAATCTTATTTAAGTACACGACATAAACTATGTTGCATATCAAGCAAATGAGCACTTAGAAATAAAAGTAAAAGGCCAAACAGCAGAAGTTTTTCATCAAAATATTGTATGTTTAAAAATTATCCGAAAATGGCAACAAGAAGCTACATGCGTTCTGTTTATGTACATCACGTTTGAGTAGCTGCGCGGTTTTCATGGACACCTGTATATGTTCATCTGTCACAGTTTAAAAAAATAATGTTCGAAATTGTAAATTGAAGCGATCTCTATTAGATATTAACCTCTACACAATACAGTACAACAACGAAATTTTAAGAATGTATTTTGTATCATCCAAAAAATGCGTTTTTTATATTATGTAATAAACAAATTAGCATTATAAGACGCGTACAAAAGTCAACCACATGATTTTTTCATTTTGTGCTTTTAAAGGCGAATATATCTATCAAACTATAGTAATGCTGCATAACAGTCTACTAAATTTAATTACTACCGTAGCTACAGATCATTTTTGTCTATTTAATTATTATTATCGGTTATTTCTAATACGTTTCATTTAATTATGGTTTTCTCAGAATAAAAAAAACATTACACAGTTCTATTGAAATATGTATATCACGAATTAATAAATAACGAAGAAGATTGTTTACTTTAACAAAACATCTAAACATGTGGCAACTCTCGGTACAAACAAATAAAGTCTATATTAATCGTGTGGCAGCAAGGCACTACAATTATGTTCAACAAGATTGGGTGTGCACATCCTTATATTTGTCTAATTAAAAGCTATACGAAGCCCACTAAACGAGTTATAATTATAAAGTGCACTTGTGAATATTCCATTTCTAATTGCGTTCTTAAAATATATATTTTTAATAAACCTTTATTGGGCATTTTCATGTTGCGTTTTAAAAATTGTCTAGACTACTACTACTACCTCAATTGAACTTACATTGACGTAATAAACGAATAGTAAATAACATGCAAATAACAAATAATGAATAATATAACATACCAATCCAGCAGATATGTATACAAAAATATGTTTGACTCGGCACAGGTTAAACTTTACCTTAACCTTAAGTTCTCAAATTATTCTTCGCTTTATCAAGGATTTCTTTTTTGATCTTGGGATAGTCTGGGTGCACTTTTAGGATATGTCGGCACACCACAATGCATTCGGGGTATTTTTTCAATTTTAAGTAGGAGTGCGCCAGTTTATACCCTACAGCCAGGTCTGCTTTACCGCCGTGGAACCAGGCGTTGTTGTAGTTGTGAGCCGAGCTTTTATAATTCTGTTCCTTTTCTGCTAAGTAACCTACAAGAGAAGAATACTGTTATACTACTTTATAGAAAGGAATGCACAGTAGTTTTTTTTGACGAAATGTTTCCTCTCGTGAGTGCTATTGGGATAATATTGCATGCTATTGTCAATGCTACGGGGGAAGCATCTCGCTTCTGTAATCAACATTACTGATACTTAATAGTGCACTGAGTAGGATCTTCAAATCTCCATCACGACTATCGATAAAAGCTTCCTCCTATCCTGATCGGTTTAATAAATTCATTAATACAGTTTCTTCATTTTGATATATATAAAGACCAGACGATAATATCAACCTTTTCGCCTGGCGCTCATAGAATGGACTAGAATAGAAAGATAAAAAATACGCAAATGAGTAGGAATGACGTGACAAATAGAGAAAAAACGCATTTCAGTTTACGACTCTTGGTGATGTGGCCTTTAAAATATCAAGTGTAGTAGTAAGTTTTAATAAGAATACATACCTAAGTACTGATAAGCAGTTGCGCAAGAGTTGTTGTGATTTAATACTTTAGTGAGGAGCTCTTTTGCGGCGTCCACTCGTCCAGAATTTATTTGACCATCGGCTACTTCCAACCAACATCTAAAATATAATACATAGACATCACATTTTCTTGCCTAGAAAATTTAGACAGTATTGGAACACAGTTTACAACAACAATTACAGGTCAAGATCAATTAAAATCATAGCCGCCGAACTTCAACTTAATTTAAACCACTTCGTCTGTATGATATATATCTAATCTATCTAATGTATAACATGTAATAAAAAAAAACAATATTTATTTGTTTGTATTTTAAAAGTTATCGGCTTGATGTTGCAAAGAATACAGCGAAGTAAGTACCTTTTCTAGAAAAAGAAGATTTTTTTGCGAGGAATGGAAAAAATACTTTAACGTGGGCGAAAGCCGTGGGCAAAGGCTAGTTACTAATAAAATATCTTGATATCTGAATTTCAACTTGCATATCAATAAGCACGATAAAGAATATTTGTCACCTTTCTAGCCCATCCGCTCTCTCAGGGCTCCAGGGAATAGAAGACACTGTTCTCTTTAATATGTTCTTTGCACGAGTTGGTTGCTTTACTATGTTGTAACTGAAATCAAATAATATAAAAATAATAATAATGATGTAACCTTATCTAAAAATATTACAAATAATTACTTGAGTGTTTTAACATTAATGTACAAACAAATTAAAAAATGTTCGTTTAGTCTTGAATAATATTATTATTATAGTGCACAATAAGATAAAATAGAAACTTATTTTATGGGTAAGGGGCAAACATTATCCGAAATAACCACCCCACCGGTGGGTGGTATCACAATTCATTTCCGCACAGAAAAAAAGGCGGGCAAACAGGTCACTGGATGGTGACTGCCACCGAAAGAATTGCTTTCCTGTAGGTTCCTGTAAGTTCCTGTTAGTGTAATTATTCCGGTCGAGCCGATGCATATATGCTGAAGCCAGGTTCTCCCAAGGTCCATGGCACTTATTTCATTCGGTCATTAGATTGACAGCTGAGATACTAAGTCTCGGCTAATTTTCTAGGTGAACATCGACCTTTTGTATAACAATACTTACGCATTAGCAATAGCCAATATCAAGTACGGATCGTCCTGATAGGTGTCATCGGTGGCTAGTGGCAGTAACTCTTGTAAGACGCGTTCGGCTTGCGGTTTCTGTTTAGTGGCCAGTTGTAGAAGCGCTTGCAGGGACTTACGGTCTAGAGGGGATACTTCGACAAGAAGCTTTTCAGCGGTTCTCAGCGCCAGGATCTTAGTGTCACTGGAACAATAATAATAGATAACGTCAGGTATAGCTCATCTTTATTCAACAATTTGTTCTTTTAATGAGCACATTTAGAATTCTTTTTCTATTTATTTTTCGTTCACGAATTATTCACCTGAACAGGTATAGGTTCGCGGTCGATTTTTGGGTCCCTTTGGTGGTATGAAGTAGGACGGGGGGCAATTAAATCATAACGTCGGTCAGTGATTGGCACACCGATATTGTCGCTGCTCCTGAATCGTTTTCTCGTACTTAACTACGACGAGTAGACTTCCCAGCAAATTAATAGGGTTTTTTTTTTATTAATAATTTAATCATTTCTATTTTCGCTCTTCATCAATTTAATTTTCTGGTAGTTATATGTGAGTATATTAGATAGCGTAATGTATTCTCTAATATGACGATGACGTAATGGCCACCGTGCCAGTACCAGCTTTTTATAAGAAAGTGATTTGATGGAAGGTGTCACTCCTATTTCACCGTAGTAATTTTATAGAGAAAATATTTGTTAAACAAAAATAAATAACTTTACTTTTTTAATTAAAAATTAAAACCATTTTGTCTCATCATAGAATCAATTATAAGTTACGTATTAACTTTACTGCGTAACGTCTTATGGTTTTGATCGGTTTTAATTATATTCTAACTGAGAAAAAATAAATGGGTGTGCATTTTTTTTCCATCAGTAACGATGGGCAAAGCAAACTCCACTCTAGCGCCGAGCGCTGAAGGTCCGTGCCCGTAACTATACTCACGAGTCGTCGCTGTTGGTGAGGAAGGTGTCGGCGAGCGAGTGCGGGGCGTGGTGCGCCAGACACAGCAGCACCATGCGCCGTGCTGCGCGCGGCCCCCAGACGGGCGAGCGCCGCGCCTGGTTCAGCTGCCGGAGCGCTGCGTTTGCTCGACCGGAGTAAGCGCTGCACGCGCCTAAACAGTACCAGTAACCTGTTCGAATTCAAAAGATTTTTTTTAATTTTTTTAGGGTGAAATAATAATAAAAAATACTAGAGATTCTACACGGCGCTATAAAGAACCAAACCGATTAAGGATTAACATACTGAAACTAAAACTGCACTAAAAGAAGAACCATAAGAAAACCCAGACTTTATAAAATATATTTTTTAGACCTAATAATCCTTAGATGTATTAAATAGGTTAATACATATTGTATAGTATATTTATATCTTTTTTATTATAATAATACAGAGAGTTTAGGAATTACCTGTTCGGCATTGATTCGCAAATTAATAAATCGGGATGATTTGCAAATTAATTACTGTACTTGAACCCTACAAAAGACCTGGGTCGGAGTTGCAACAATATGTTCTGATTACTACGTGTTGTAACATTACTGCATTAGTAAGTCATGTCACGTCACTAAGGCACGTAGCACTATGCACATCCTTGGGTAGCCATTGCTCTGCTATCTGCGACACTGTAAAGTACCTAGTCAAAGTCTGTCTATGCAACACGATAATTATATGATAATATAATAGTCTAAAAAATAGTAATAAATAAATAGTCTAAAAAAGTGATTTTATTTATAAACCGTCCTCAAGCCATAGAAAAACATAACTCTACGATTACTGTGAAAAATTATGGGCTTCGCCTGTTACAACCGATTACATAATTAATAAATTCTTTTGTAAATGGATGGATTGTAATGGATTTGTTAAAAAAAATACATAAACATAAATGTTATCGACTGACGCATTAATTGAAAAACACTTTGCTTATGTTGTAAGTCATAAAATGTACTCAATAACTTACCTGGATCTTCCTGATCCCCTAAAGTGAGTTTAGCGGCGTCTATAGCTTGTTCAGCCTCGCTGAGTTTACCGCGGCGCCACTGCACTTCGACCAATTGCGCTAATGCTTCCCAGCTCATCGGCTTCACAGACAATATCTGATTTAAGTGACGCTGAGCAGCTTCTAAGTCCACCTGCAAATAGAATGGAGCTGTTCACTTTCTATTGTGGAACCTGGGTGAGAATTACTAGGACTATTTATACAAAAATTGAAGCCTGTCTGAAGTTGAAAAACATTAGAAAAAGTATTATACGTACTTGCAATTTAATATAATATATCTATGTATCTATATTATTATGTATATGTATTTAGGGTGTGTTTTGTTGTATATTTGTATATGTATATATTTTTATATGTATGTTTTTATGTGTATATTTTTATATGTAACCTCAGTGAACCTTTGTTCATGTACCCAAGAGAATGCCCTGGGCATTAAGTCCGACGATGTACAATAGTGCATAAAGTTAAATAAAGAAATATTAAATAAAATTTATTTATTGAACAATTCATGGTATGCCGATGCCAGATAAAATAAAGCAAAGGATGAAATGCAGTACCTTTCTAAATGCCAGATCCGCCATCATGACAGCAGCTGATTCGTTATTCGGATCGGTGTTCAGCAAAACACCGCAAGTTTGTTCGCACTTTTCGGTTTTATTCATCTGGAAATTCAAATATTAATTAGTAGAGATGAAACTTAGTTAAAGTCGATTTGTAATTGTGAAAATCTCGGTTAAGAACAAACGACCTAACATACTACAAGATCTCGCACAGGCTGTCGGTGGACAATGGTAATCGGTTCCCATTAGGTGACCCATCTACTCGGTAAACCTGTACCATAAAATATACCATACTTACATGGGCGTACAGCTTAGCCAATGCCAGAAGCGTTTTAGGATCTCTTGGTGAATGAACTAATGCCTCAGAATACAACTGAGCACCAACTGCCGGTTCCTTCAACGACTTAGCTTTTGCCAATAAACAGAGTATATCGGACAACTGCTGCTTCTCTTCGTGTATATCTCCCCTTGAGTCAAACTCCATTCTTTTAACAACAGATGTTTGTAGATCTCTTGCTTCTGCCAGTATGAGGTTGACGTTGGCTAAAGTCGGATTTTTCAGTTCCCGGTTTTTGGCCTGTATGAGTAGATATCGGACACGACGCTTAAGTGCATTGATGTCCTTATCTTTGTTGTACATTTGATTGAGTTCGGATGATATTGACGATTCCACCTTATCATATTGCTTGAGCTAAAAAAGCAAATGAAAAATATAATATATAAATACCATCATGGTTAATAAATCCTAAGGTCAAAAATTGTAACACTTACTTTCATTAAAAGTTCGTAGTAATCAAATTGCAGTTCGTTAACATTCAGAGATCTGATCGCGTTCTCATAATGTTGACAAGCCTTTTCATATTCATGCATCTTTACGAAGGCGTCACCTAGCTTTTTGATTAACTGAACATCTTTTGGATTGCCTTTCAGTGCGGCTTCGTAAGCTTGAGCCGCTTGGATAGGGTCTGGAATAGATATATATGACATACACTACTGTATGAATCAGAGCCAGGCATCTTAATTACCGACTACGGGGGGGAACTATCCGACAACTCTCCTTTCCCTCTTACAACAATATTTCAGAGACCCTGTCACTGGAAATATTACTTAAAATGTTTTTTCAGAAAACTTCCCAATACTAAAGTAGCCAAAGACAAAACTAGTTGGAGTGGAGCATGGCGTGTAGGCACTTTGATTATCAAGAAAGTTTAAAGTTCTTTGTAAATAAAATTAGTGCTTTGAGGTGTAAATAAAGCTGTCATTAACTGTCTGTGTCAATTAACTGTCATTGTAATCCCAGAAATGTTCAAGCAATGATATGACTCATTTTCTAACAACCCCATTTACTACAAACAGAGTTATTAAATCTGAAAACTCGTAAATAATGCAAAACTTTGTGTTGAGCTTCCTATCTCTAGACCCTATTGCACCTATAAACATGCTTATTTATTTATTTAAAACTGTTAAACCAAGAGAAATCAAAATAATTTTCTATCAGTTCAAAAAGAAAAATATTTTATAGTAAAAATACGTGTATTGCTAGATCTCAATTGTATATATATATATATATATATATATATATATATATATATATATATATATATATAATATTTACTATATATAACACTATACTATACTATACTATACTATAACACTATACTACTATACTACTATAACACTATACTATACTATACTATATATAACACTATATATAATATTTACTATAATATTTTATTGACAGATATTGGTAGAAGTAATTACATTATAAAATATCTTAAAAAGCACCCTACGCTTTTTACGATAAAACGATTTTTCTTAATTGAACCTTTGTAAAATGATATTCTACTTTTAGTTGGGCTGGTAACAAAAGCGTGGTTTTTAGTTTGTTTAAACTATAATTTATTTTTGCTTTGTAATCATGATGATTATTTTCTCATGAAGTCTAAAAAAGTAACAAGTAAGTTAGTCACATAATATGCTTCAGCACACGCCTCTCAATACGTAGCAAAAGGCACGTATTTTTAAGTATGGAAAAAGCCGTTAATCCTGAAGATCATAGTCAGGATAATTCGACGTTTTGGAGAAGGTCAAAATCATGTTCAAAGATTCCGGTACATACATAGATACATACATACATACCCAGCTAATAAAAGCGTGTCAAAAATACTTACCATGAATCGACATATAAGCATCGCCCATCATAGTATGCGCGTCGGCCATTGGATGATTACTAACAATCTCTTTAAAGCAAGCAGTGAACATTGCGCGATCATTCTTCTCTTTCAAGTAAATATGTGCCATCTTGTTATGAGCTTGGAAGTAGTATGGTTGCCCTGGCTTGATTTCATTAAGTAAGTCTAGAGCACTGTCCACATCACCCTTCTTGAGTGCAAGGTCTGCTCTTGCGATTAGAAGGCGACTCTCCTCTGATGTGTATGAGAATTCTTGAATTGCTTCCTAGATCATAAATACTTTTTGTAAGAAATACTTTAAAAATGTATAAAAGAAAAAGTAGAACTCAATGTCAGGTGCAGGTACATGCAGCAGCATGACCATTGTGTTCTGTAAGGTATCGTTATTTGTATGCCATAGAAATAAATAATGTTCATTACCTACATATTTATATCTTACTTGTATTATTATATTTATATATATTATATTATCCAATGTATTAAACACCCATACTTTGCCCACGAACATTTCAATCCCACTCGCGTGGTAACGTGCAAGCCTGTTGCCGCAAACTAAGCACAAATATTTGTAATGTCTTTATCTAATGTACGCTACTTCGGGGATAAAAGACGTTTGTATCGATGTATCTGATTCATTAGCTGTCTATAGAAGAAGTAACTTAGGCTATTTTTTCTCTCAGAAAAACCCTATAAAACTTTGCCTGGTCTAGGAATCGAACCCGAGGTCTCATGGACTGCAGTTGTGCACCGTACTACACCACTAAAGCAGTGCTTTTCAAATTCTACGCAAATGAAGTCGCGGGTACCAACTAGTAAGAACTATATGATTCATTTCATTTGTCTTGTTAAATCTTTTCAGGCTCATCAACTAAAGAGATGTACCATAAAATGATATGTTATGTACATTTCTTAAATAATAATTTAGACTTTATAACAATAGATTTGACCTGTTACTTATCCTTACTGCTCTGCTAGAGGTTGTCTGACTCTTAACTGGACAGACATGTGAGAGAGATATAGATGATGTCAAGTTAAAATTACTAGTATTGTTATTAATTCTGTTACCTGCATTGTCTTTCCCGCTTCAGCAAACATTTCCAATGTAGATTGTATCTCAATGATTTGCAAATACAATGTAGCCTTGTCAATGATATTCAGATCTGATTCAAAAGCTCTATTCATGTTACTAATAGTACTCTTACTTGTCGCAATCTGAAGACTTGTTAAAAAGCTAGACAAAGCGTCAGTAAGCTGATTGGCACTTTTCAAAATAACTCCATTCAAGAAATGATACATGGCACTGTCTCTTACTTTGAAATTGTAGCTCAAACACATTTCTAAGCTCTGAGCTGCTTTCGTAAAGGCTTCTTGCTGCACATACACCTGGGCTAACAGAACCTGACAACCTGCATGTGTACTATCAAGATCTTGAACTTGTTGAGCTAATCTCTGAGCATCGCTAGCATATCCAAAAAGAAACTTAAGTTTTGCTAACTCATACAAAGCAGTTATCAAGCCAGGACAAGCGTCGCATACAGCATTTAATATCTTCAAACAATGTGTCACCACAGGGTTGTTTGCTTCTTGGGAATACATTAAATAACCAACAATTATAGATGGTTTTTTAGGCAAATGTTTTTTATATTCTTTATATACTTCTAAAAGAAAATCTGGATCTAAATCCTTAACATATGCCAAGCTAAAAGAATTGCGTTTAGCGAAAGTTATCTTTGTCTCATATGCAGTGTTCAAAAACGTTATAGCACTTGACGAGTTTTTAAGATTCAACTGTGCAGAAAGATGGTACAGAATAGGTAATTTATTTGGGCCCTGCATTTCGAATAGCAGCTCAATTTGCTGAGCAATTTGTTCTGTTGGACCATTCTCATTCATTTGACACAGTGTTAATCCACAAAGAGCTGTGATTGAATTGCTGTCAAGCTTACAAGCTGCCTTAAAGAAACTTAAGGCATCTTTATATTTTCCTTGAAGAATACACTGATATCCAACTTCACTTAAGTAGTCTACATTACTAGGGTTCATTTCGGAGGCATATTGCGCAAATCTGTATACTTGTGAAAGTACTGCACTCGATCTGCCACAAGCTCTAGAAAATATCTGTGTAGTATTGTAGAACTGATACCCATTATGAGGCTCATCATTTTCCAAGACAGTAAAGAATTTATTCAACTGGTCGGCCGCCTCAATATAATCTGCATTCTTACACAATGCAGTAAAAATTCTTATCTTTAGGGTTTCGATGTTATCAGGCTCAAGAGGAAAAACTCTCTCCATAGTATCATAGACGGCATCCCATTTTTGCATGGCAAATTCATTTTTCATTTTCTCTACAAGTGGTACAACTTGACCTGGATTATTAACTATTATTCTGTCAAGTATCAAGTTAGATGCATCATGTTCTTTGGCATAATATTTAAATTTAGCCAACCCTAAGAGTGCCTCAGTATTCCTATCACTTTTATTCAGAGCCAATTCTAGGCAATCTAAGATAGATATTTGCATGTTTCCTAAATTCATATACATATCATTCCATCCTTTGAGTATTATAGCTTCCAAATTGTTAGGGTCTTTTCGTAAACTTTTATTAATATAATCTGATGCTTTTTCATATTTTTCCGCAAATGATAAAAATAAACCTGCATAATAAAAAGAAATGGCAGATGCTTGTTTTTTTTCTTCTTTTAATTTAGACTCTAAGTTATACAACACATCTCTCTCTCCTGGGCTGCCGAGTCTATAACCATACATGAGAGCAATTACAACTGCCAATTGAATATCTTGTTCAGATTGCAGAGGAGTTAATACACTTATGCCCTTTTGGATTTGACCTTCCAGTAAACTAGCCAGACCATTGTAAAATAAAAACTCAGCAGCATCACCATATTGTTTGGAAGCTTGTGAAATTATTTTCTTAGCACTGCCAAATAGTTTTTCACGTAAATAATAATGTATGTTACATCTAAGCCAAGCTAGGTCCATTTTTAATTACTTTCCTAATCCTTTTTGTTCTCTTAGTCATCCAAATCAAATGTTATTTGTAGAGTCTTATAATTATCCTTGTTTTGCTCATAATAGTGCGCCAAGAAATGACACTGGCATATCACATTCAGTTTGTTCTCTGACGCATAATCAAATGCATGCTGCAAACATTGATCAGTTAACACACAAAATATATATAATGCAGTATGATTTAGAAAAGATATAGAACAGTTATTACAAATGCTTATTGTAATTCTCAAAGAGTTTTTACAAGATAGCATCAAAAGTATTTTTTTTAAACACATAGCCAGTAACAAAAGTAGCCGAAGATGATTTATTCACAATATTTCAATTTAATAATTATTTATCGTAAGTTATTAATTCATATTTACTACAAAAAAACCTCAAATATCATAAGTTATTTCTGGGCCAGTTTAGAGTCATGTCTTTTGTAATTAAGTATTTATTTATGGATTTTTTGTGCTGACTGTACAATGTACATGGTAGTTGCCAAAACTAGAAAAAAATATTTTTTTATTAATCAGTTAATACAAGTTTGTATTTTAACCACAATCCATTAAGTTTTTTTTTTGGTATATGTAATTGTCCAGTATTCAAATTCAATGTTCGATCGCTCTCGTCTGCAACAAAACTGATAGAGTTAAAAGCAGCTTTAAAAAATATTAATCACGATATACTAGGCCTGTGCGAGGTGCGCCGACTGGGAGAAAATATTATTGAAGACGACGATTATGTTATGTACTACCTCGGTAAAACCAAAGGCAAATTGGGTGTGGGCTTTCTAGTTAAGAAAAAGTACAAAGCATATATTACAACCTTCATTGGAATATCAGAAAGAGTGTGTCTATTGGAAATCATTCTGGAAAACCTGCCTTTTGCCATTATACAAGCGCAAGCACCTACTGAAGGCTCATCGCAGGAAGATATTGACACATTCTATGAAGATCTTGCTAAAGCTCACGGCTCTATCTCGACCGATAATATAATCTCCATGGGTGACTTCAACGCTCAAATTGGAAAACCGAAACAGTACGAACACACAGTGTCTGGGCGATACGGACATGGAACCAGAAGCATTCGTGGAGAGAGACTGATTCAGTATGCGTACGAAAATAATCTGAAAGTCATAAACACCATGTTCAATTTGAAGACACACAGGAGATGGACATGGATATCTCCAGACAAAAATACAAAAAATGAAATAGATTACATCATGACAACTAAACCAAAACTCATTTCCAAGTATGAGGTCCTGTCATCGGTCCCTGTCGGTTCAGACCACAGAATGCTACGAGCTACATTAAACTTGAATGCAACAAAAAGAAATAGACGTAATTTTTCCAACCCATCAATCAGGCTGAAAACATTGAAGGAGCAAGATACTTACCTTGTAAATCTGAAAAGTTATATACCTGAACTTATATCGACAAGCACTAACTACAAAGCCAACGAATACTGCCAGAAGATCGAACACTCTATATTAAAAAGCATTAAAAATATAAAAACGAACCAGAAATATAAAATACTATCTGACAAAGCATTAGAACTAATGAAAGAAAGAAAAGAATTCCAAAACAAACCAAAATTAAACAAGAACGACAAAGAAAAACTGAGAATGCTCTACAAAACTACAAACAAGGAAATAAAGAGATGTTACGATGAATACAGAGTTAATACTATAAAGAGACACATTGACAAGTCAAGATCAGCAAAAAAGGCGTATAAAGAATTAAACAAAACAAAGAACTGGATCACATGTCTTCATTCGTATTCGAAGAAAGCTACTACCCGGATGGATATCATAAATGTTGCTACAGATTTTTATGCGAAACCTCTACAGCCAGTCTAATCGTATACATCACAGGAAAATTACCCACCGCATCACGAATACATCCCCAACTCCCGAATTTACTGGATATGAAATCTTAATTCAAATTACAAAGCTCAAGTCTGAAAAAAGCACAGGTCAAGATGGAATCTTAAACGAATATATTAAAATTGCAAGAACCCTGTTATTGAGACCCATAACTATATTATTTAATAAAATATTAGACGAGGAAGCCGTGCCACATTCATGGACGGAATCAGAAATAATCTTGATATATAAAAAAGGAGACCCAATGGATATAGGAAACTATCGTCCAATAAGCCTAATGTCTTGCCTCTATAAACTGTTTGCCTCCTGTCTGCTTGCAAGAATATCCGCGGAGATCGACGCCCATCAGCCGATAGAACAAGCCGGTTTCAGATCAGGCTTTAGCACACATGACCACATTCAAGTTCTAGACCAGGTAATCGAAAAATATGAAGAATTCCGCAGACCTCTATATGTAGCGTTCATTGACTACAAAAAGGCTTTTGACACTATATCGCACGATAGCATCTGGCAAGCTTTAGAGTCAATAAACATTGAAGAAAAGTACATAAACATTTTGAAAAACTTATATGTGAAAAGTACAAGTAGAATAAAACTAGACAGAATGGGCACGAGAATTAATATAAACAGAGGCGTGAGACAGGGCGACCCGCTCTCTCCAAAACTATTCATAGCTGTACTACAACATCTAATGAAAAACCTACAATGGTCTAGGAAGGGATTAAACATAAACGGCGAATACCTAAGCCATCTCCGCTTCGCTGACGATATAATTTTACTCTCCGAGAGCTCTGCACAACTGAATAATATGATTAGCGATCTACACGGAGCCAGCATCATGGTCGGTCTTGAAATGAATCTTGCTAAAACGAAAATAATGACTAATCACCACACCGCATCCATCTTCGTAAATAACATCCCTCTAGAGTTTGTAGAGAGTTACGTTTACTTGGGCAAACAAATTTCTTTTAGAAAAGATAGCGACTTTTGTACCTGAATTCAAGGACTCCCATTTACAAACAAACAAATTGTACAAAAATGATAACATAGCAATGTTTAGTGATGAAATTGGAAAGGGCATGGGTCCATTAATGTTAAATACACAGTTGGGACATTCATTCAGCAATTATTGCATGCCTCACTCATCTTTTAATGATATTATGGAAAAAGTTTTAAATTCCAAATCAGACCACAATGTAAATACTTCATTAGTCATTTTTGTTGGTAACAGGGGAAATGTAAACAAAAAGAAATTCTTAGGCTACTTTGAATCATTGTTAAAGTTAGATGTAAATAAAATTGTATTGTTTACACTTCCTCTTAGCAAAGGGTTGTCGCAGAAGGAAAGAAATGTTAGATATAATTTAAATATAATGATGCACAACCTAACGTGCCAAATAAATGGACCCTATTGTAATAAATTACATCTAATCGACACTAACAAGCTTGTTAGTAATAATATTTCATTGACGAAAGGTAGATATTACCTTTCTAATTATTATAAGAGACAGATAGCAATTTCGCTATCATATTATTTTCCATTACAGCCAAGAACTTGGCTAAAACTATTGCTTCTATTGAGCAAATTGACATTACCCATAGCGACTTTGCCAATCCGTTGGCAGATATTTCTTTAGACATTAATAAAAATTTAAATGACATACCTAATAATTTACATAATAATGAGATTGACATTTCAAATAATTTAAATTTACTGATAAGACAATAGAGACTACCTCTTGCAATATTAATTTGATCACTAATAGAAAGTTCAATCACAGTAAATTTATTAAAAATAATATGATAAATAATATAAATTTGGTGCATCAAAACATTAGAGGAATGATGGGCAAAGACTTGGAGGTGGAACTGTTCATGAACTGCAATGCAATTGATATTTTTTGTATTACTGAACACTGGCTAAAAGGGGATCAGTTTATGTTCAATTTTGACCACCACCAGGTAGGCAGCTCGTTCAGCAGAAGTACAGCAATACATGGTGGCACTATGATACTCATTAATAAGAAACTTAAATTTAAAGAGCGCCATGACATTGTTAGTTTATCAGTTGAGCGAACTACAGAAATGGCCTGTTTAGAACTAAAAGGTTTCATAGTAGTATGTGTATACAGACCTCCTTCAGCTATGTATGATTGTTTTGAACGTGTTATGGATGAAGTATTAGTTAAAGTAACAAGATCAAAAAAGAAGGTCATCATCTGTGGTGACTTCAATATTAACCTATTGGAAAATTCAAGTATAGTAACCAAGTTCAAGGCACTTTTTCAATCATACAATCTGAAGAACTTGTTCTTGGAGCCTACACGAATCACTGCCACCACTGCCACATGTTTGGACAATATATTTACAGATATTGTTATTAAGGACAAGAAAATAATCAATCAATTACAATCTGACCACTGTGGTCAATTAGTATCTTTCTGTGATAGGTATGAAAAAGTGTCAGAAAAAAGAATTGTGGTGATACCTAAAACCGCAAAGCGTTGTGAAAACTTTAAGGATAAACTTAAAGCTGCTTTTAATAATTCAGTACTCTGTGTAGAGAATAACCCTAATACTTATTATAATAGTTTTTTTGAAACTTTCTCTTCAACATTTAACACCATTTTTACACCAAAAACGCTAGTGGTTAAAGGTAACGCCACATTTAGTGAATGGGCTACCCCTGGCTTACTCAAAAGTAGGAAAAGATTATACGAGCTATACGATGAGAGGAATTATAATAAAAGTGAACAGTTTCATAATTATGTTAAAGAATATTCGAAGCTGTTTAGGAAACTTTGTAAACTGGCTAAGTCTCGTTTTATTAGTTCAAAGATTAAAAGTAGTAATGATAAGATTAAAACCACTTGGAAAATTATTAATAGTGAAACTGGCAAAGATCCAAACCGTAATAATGAATTTAATTTAAACATAAACAATAAATTTATCACATCAAATGCTGAGGTTGCTGCTGCATTTGAGAATTTTTTTACTAACATTCCTGTATCAACTACTAAATCTTTGAACTCCTCACCATACCTTGCAGAATCAATTTTAAAAGAGAATGTTAGAAGAATTGATAGTGAATTTAAGTTCCAATATGTGTCCCCCTTTGAAATTATTAAAGCCTTTAACACTATTAATGTTAAAAAAACAACCGACCTATGGGGAAATTCTGTTTTAATTACTAAGACAATTATATCTCTTGTGGCTAATCAATTGTCATTTACATTTAATCAATGTGTTGATAGTGGTGTATTTCCTGATCTTATGAAGTCTAGTAAAATTATTCCCTTATTCAAATCTGGTAGTACATCTGACCCAACTAACTATAGACCTATCTCAGTACTACCAGTATTTAGTAAAATTTTTGAAAAAATTATGTATGATCAATTGCACAGTTTTTTTAATAATAATAATTTATTGCACAATAGACAATTTGGTTTTACAAGGGGTCGCTCCACAACTGATGCTAGTGTTGAGCTAGTAAAACATATATTTGATGCCTGGGAGGATGCCCACGATTCTCTAGGTATCTTTTGCGATTTATCTAAGGCTTTTGATTGTGTTGTTCATGAAACGCTGATCAGGAAATTACAGCACTATGGTATCAAAAATAAAGCCCTGGAACTACTTGCCTCATATCTATGTAATAGGATTCAAAAAGTTGATATTAATGGTGAGCGGTCTCCAGGCTCTGTGATAGAAATGGGCGTTCCACAGGGTTCTATTCTCGGCCCTTTTTTGTTTTTAGTATATATTAACGACTTACCTCACTTTGTCAAGGACAATCTCGAGATTGTGTTGTTTGCAGATGATACATCACTATTATTTAGACTAAAACGGACACTTTCTGATTTCACATTTGTAAACAGCGCCATTTCGAAAGTGGTTCATTGGTTTGATGTCAACAATTTACTATTAAATGAACAAAAAACTAAGTGTATACGTTTCACTATGCCAAACGTCAAGCCAGTGAAAACTACTGTGATAATTAAGGATGTCGGGCTGGACCTTGTGGACACTACGACATTTTTAGGTATAACACTAGATGCTAAGCTACAGTGGGGCCCACATATTGATAAATTGTCGACTAGACTCAGCTCAGCAGCATACGCAGTAAGGAAAATCCGAGAGTTGACTGATGTTGATACAGCACGACTTGTTTACTTCAGTTACTTTCATAGCATAATGTCGTACGGTATTCTGCTGTGGGGGAATGCTGCCGACATTCAAACTATTTTTGTGCTGCAAAAGAGAGCTATTCGAGCACTTTATAATTTAGGCAATCGTTGTTCATTGAGGCAGAAATTTAAAGAAATAAATATAATGACAGTGGCAAGTCAATATATTTATGAAAATGTAATATATGTTCACAAAAATAAAGATAGCTTTTTGAAAAAAAGTGATGTACATGCCATAAATACCAGATATAAAAATAAATTTGTTGTACCCGCCTCTAGGCTCCAAAAGATAAACAAGTCTTTTCGAGGTCAATGTGTCCGATTTTATAATAAAATCCCAAATAATATTCAGGAGTTGAGTATTAACAAATTTAAATCCGCAATAAAACGTGGCTTGTGCCAGAGGGCCTACTACTCGATTGTGGATTACATGGAGGACAAGAATGCTTGGGATTAATTAGCGCAGGCTATTTCTTTCTTAAGTAAAAATGTGGTGTGGCTAGTATGTTTTTTATTATTTTTTCTATTTTTTATGTTTCACTTCATTTTCTCTTGTATTCGTTTGTTCTTCTTAATCTTGTTTTCTCTTCGTTGTTTTTTCACCTTTAAGTCCTTAATAACGGACATACTAGCACACATCAAAACAATGTTGTGATATATTTAATAGTGCCATTGTATCTACTTGTGAATTGCAAAAGAGTGGCCATGAGTTTGTTTGCCCTTTCTTCTCATAAGGCTCAACCCCTTGGAAACGGGCGGTTGTAGATTGGCACAGGCATATCATAGATTTTGTATGGGTTTGATTTTGTTAAATTTATTTGGTTACTATTTGACAAAACAGAGATTGTTGCTTTTGTGTGTGTTGATCTATGACTTTAGAGTCTACATGGAAGACGATTTCAAACAATTTTGAAAATTTTATGAAATAAAGAAAGTTTGAGTTTGAGTTTGAGATAGAAACAGGGAGGAAATAGATTGCAGAATATCAATAACATGGAAGAAATACTGGGCACACAAAGAAATACTCAAATCACATCTCAAACCGCCAATAAAGAAAATAGTTATGGATTCAGTGATTTTACCATGTCTTACCTACGGTTCTCAAACTTGGACTTTCGACCAACAAACCAGAAGCAAAATACAAACTACACAAAGAAGAATGGAAAGAAGCTTATTAGGTGTAAAATTAAAGGACAAGATTAAAAATAAGCACATTCGCAACAAAACCAAAGTAACCGACACTTTAATTTTCTCGCTGAAAATGAAATGGAGATGGGCAGGACACGTAGCCCGCTACGATGACGATAGGTGGACCTTTAGAGTGGTGAACTGGCAAGGCCCTACAGGTCGTAGGGTTAGAGGCCGCCCATGCACTAGATGGACAGATGAACTGGTAAAGGTAGCTGGAGAAAATTGGATACACTTGGCTAGACACAAAGAAAGATGGAAATCCTTGGAGGAGGCTTTTACCCGTAGGGGGTCCATAACAGCCAAGACAAAATAATAACTATAGACAAATTAATTTAATGTAATTGAAATTATTTTAAAAGAATTATATTTATTAATCAGAATGTATGGTAATAGGCTGAATGGAATTAAATAAAGCTTTATTATTATTATTATTATTATTATAATTGTCCAGTATAACTTGAACTGCCATTGTATACCTATTTATACAATGACAAGTCAACATTCAAACTGTTTAAAAAAAGCTTGTGACACCATAGAGATAACATAAACAGAGAAAGCGAACTGTTTATTCCTCTATAAGTAGTAGTGTACGTCCAGTAGACAGAGAAAGAAGACTGTTTTGGTCATAGAGAGAACATGGGGTACAGGTGCCTGTAAGTGGAAGCAATACAAGAATGAAAGAGATGGATGCCCGATGGCTATCATGAAGTGGGTATGGTTTTGATCGTAGAACAGGCAAGAGATTAGAAAGTTCTCACAGCCAAATACAGAGCTCAACTAGAAAGACATAGAGGGAACTATATATTATCCATATCTTACATTGCCTATATTGCAAGATTGGGGCTCTTGTTCTTGTTCTATGGTTATATCTCTATGCTTTTGGTCTTTCATCTCTCTGCGCTCTCTGCACTGATTGGCTGCTGCATTTAAAATAGAAAATGACTGCCAAAAGCAGAGAGGCTCATGGCTCTCTCACTGATTTAAATCTTCGTTCTCTACTAATGGGATGCGATAGCGCCTTGGTCCTCTTCTCCTCTAACATTTATAAGCTCTTTGTATGACACATTTTTTTAATTTCTAACAATGCAACTTCTGTTAAATTTAAAATTTAAGTATTTCAAATGCCATCTTCTATTCACAAAAATTTCTTAAAAACATATACAAAGAATCCTCTTCATTGTGAAAGGAAATGAATTATACTATTAACTGTTAAATAACACTTGTTATTATAGGAGTTTATGATATTATACCAAAAAAATTGTAATTAGATTTAAAAATTAATAAGATCTGCCCTTGAATAAATAAATTAAATCAAACCTTGGCAAGTAATTTTCCAACTCCTTTTCCTTTGAATGCATCTGGGACTTCAGTCCTCACAAGTGTTAATTCTTTGCCCGATTTCTCGTAATTTAGGAAAGCCTCATCTGAAATACAACGCAATTATAATAGAATCAGAGATTGATTGGAAAAACATAACCTATTTATCTCAATTTCCTTGTCCCTTTATTATTGTTTTGAAATAACAATTTGAAAAAAAATATTATGATAAAAAATAATCTTACGGTTTGCAATTTAAATTAGTTTTAAGCAAACTTCTACTAGATAAATGTACTAATGTAAAAAAAACTAAAAGAATATACGTACTTCCCTTCAGCGACACATAAAACTGTTGCCTAGTAACATCATTCACAACTTTCAACGCTGCCGTTGAAAACGCCCTGGCTGCGGTTCGAGTTAGCATTCCAATTATGTTATTTACAAAATTTAAAGTAATGTACAAAATAAATACAATCTGCGTAACTCTGCAGCATAAACGTATGTTTTGTTTTTTTATTTACTTGTCAAAAGTGTCAGACAGATTCAAAATATTACAAAAATTACAAAAGGTCTAATTCAGTGATGCCAACTATAACTTGTTATCTTTCTAAAGTAGGTAGGTATGTATTACTTTATAACGTAATTCTGGAGATTTCTGTCAAAAAAATACTTTTAGTTACTATTATAATCTAATGGTGGGTAGATAGGTAATTAAGTGACCCGGTGTCGGCCAATGACATTCTCTATGATGCTTACCCTGAATCTAAAATTGTAAGAACTGTTTAACCATCGCAATTTGAGACGCTACTAGAGAGAGAACTATCTATACTAATATTATAAAGCTGAAGAGTTTGTTTGTTTGTTTGTTTGTTTGTTTGTTTGTTTGTTTGAACGCGCTAATCTCAGGAACTACTGGTCCGATTTGAAAAATTCTTTCAGTGTTAGATAGCCCATTTATCGAGGAAGGCTATAGGCTATATATCATCACGCTAAGACCAATAGGAGCGGAGCACCAATGAAAAATGTTTCAAAAACGGAGAAAATTTATTACTATTGAGGGACGCAGATGAAGTTGCGCGGGTCAGCTAGTTTTATTATGTATCTATATTATAATATTATATGTATTATTGCTTACATAAAGAACAAGAACTTACATTCTATAATATTTCACTAAATGATATTTTTAAAATATTGAGACAACGGTTGTGAAGAATATATTTAATTTATTATGAATGAGTGAATAACAATAAATAACGTAATTTTCCATGTACAACCTATTTTTGACATGTGAAAATCGTCACAGGTTCTCACCTCATTAGAATGATCTCAAAGTGGCATGTTTATATAGAACCGACTAAACACTACAAGATGTTCAATCATGATTCTACTAACTTGTTTGGTAAGCCGCTACAGACTTCACTGCATTAAGCAAAAAGCAACTTTATTGAGGGGTGCGAGGAGCGTTACCTTTGTCCTGATTCAGAGAGGTGCCCACGGAAAACGTTACGGTTCCATCCTGTTTTTTTAAATGTGACGTGGCAACGAGTAACCTTGACTAACCGAAAATTATTTTGCTCTCTTCAGCATCGGGAGCACTCCTCGTCCTTCATTCCCTTGCTACCTCTTTTGTCAATATCACCTTCACGTAAGATTAGCCGAAAGCTTCCAGACTTTGCTTAGATACTCAAAAACTTCCTCCACCAAGTGCCACCAATGCATAAGCACTGCATTTTTAGTAGTAGTAATAGAAACGGCAGGTATATGACGTTTTTTTACACCCCTAACTTGATAAATTAAGGATCCCATATAAAGTTTGATTCACTGTTTGACTTGAAAAGCAACCTAGTTTGTCTTTTTTGAAAGTCGTATTTTTTAAATGACCTTGACAAGATTTTAATTGGTCTTCGTCTTCCATACATACTTTGATTATTTACAAAAGCATTATTTGTGATTTGCCATCTAAGTTAAGTCTTATGTTTCTGACAAAAAGCATCAGATGCTCTACCTCGTAGTATGAACTCAAATCATGACAAGTTTTCAATCCGGGGTCACCAAATAAGTTTTCACGATGCTCGGTCAGCACACAGACATAGACAAAAAATCAAAAAATCTGTTTTGGCTTTAGCATCTAGTCATTATACAGAATTGGACCTGACGCCTATTTAAAAATCCAATTCGTGATTAAAATATTTTTGAAATTTGATATTGGGGTCTCGTTCGGGTAAAGACTCCCCATCCTTAACCATTTTCCCTATCATGGCCACACTTCTTTCAAATATTTTCATTGTTTTCAATGAGTAACTTTGGACTTCGGCTTTGCTTGAGTTAACGTCGATTTTGTGAATTAATTCCACAATAAAAATTATAATATTTTGCACAGAAATCCGTTTGGTGACGGATTAAGAATACCGAGTGTCACCATCCCTATTCACCCGTAGGTGTCGTAATAGCCGACTAAGGCAGTAAACAACATAGTACCTACAACAGCACTGCAAAGAGAAGGAAAACATTACGACTGCTGTGCTGAGGTCTCAGGTTCTATTCCTGAGTTGCACTAATGTTTGTATGATCTGCAAATATTTCTTTGGGTGTTTTATATGTTTTATATATATGTACATAGTATGTATATATTTACAAAAAAGGATAAAAGTATTTTATCACTCAATCTAGCTTTCCAAGTACAAGCTCTGCTAAGTTTGCGTTGTGTGTCAGATGTCCCAAAATATTAATATTATTTATTTATTATTTAAACAAACCCTTTACGAACCCGTCTGGCCAGCGTGGTATAGTAGCTTATAACCTCCTTTTAAGGAGAGGCCTATGTCCAGATTAAGTGGACTGTTAAAGGCCGTCGATGAGGATGATGCACAAAAATAGGTTATAGTTTTAAAAAGTATAAGAATATGTGCTATTCCAAACTATAATTTGTCCTGTGATAGCCTCAGATAGTGTCAGATTTTTCACAGTGATGGATGTTTGATGGCTTAACTGTATAGTAGATTATGTGTGAGTATTTATTGTTTATGAATTTTGATTTAAATGCCTTTGTTAGAACTTACTAGGTGAACCTTTTAGAGTTTTACGGGTGCCATAATGAGCAGTTGTACCGACTAGTTAGGTAGGTGCCCCAAGATTTATGCCTAGATAAGTGTTGTATAAAGTACCTGAACTATATACACCGCCGGTACCATATAAACGGTAAGTACATACTTCAAATTCACTTTTCTCGGCAGGAAAGGAATAATACCGACTAAGTGCTCAATTAGACCAGCCCTACCTAAATTCCGGTAGGTAATAACAATAATAAATTTGCATAAGTTACACAAACACAGAGATTGTAAGATCCATTAAAAAGTAAAAATTAAAAATAAAACATTTATGTGTACTCGTGTGTGTGCATGTGCTTGCGTATATGTATGACTGTCTATGCGTGTGTGCAAAAATGATTGTGCTTTATGCCATTTATATAATTAGGTTTTCAGTTAACCAGTGTAAGTGATTTTGTATTCACTGTACCTAAGTTAACATTCGTAAAAGGCCACTATCAAAATACTTTCTGCATAGGTAGTTACTTTGATTCGATTACTTAAATATTTCCCATGCATCGCGACCACACGACTTCATGAATGAGTCAACACCAACGGCCACAAGGCACACGGCCGGTGCGCGCTGACTCGCCAAAGAGCATGGACTCGCGCTCGATCACAGTCGTCGAGTGTGCGCAGCGCGCGCGTCGCGCAACTCCCGCGCTTTGTACACCTATCACTGAACTGGAACGTTAAGTTCAGCAACATTTGAACTATGAACCACCTGTGCTTTTTTTTTGATGAACACGTGTTATCAACTTTATTTGTTTTGTGACAAGTTGTTGGTGATGTTTGAATGTCTAATATCTTGTAACAAGTTAGTGTGTGTTTTTTTAAGTACACGAAGAAGTAGTAAATAGATAAAAAATACCTTTCCCCTTCAGTAGTCAGGCAAATGTAGGTACTGAAACCATAAAGCGGATTAGGATACAATATAATATCAACTCTTAATCATTAATCTCTCTTAATTTATTTACCTGCAATTACAAATAGGGATGTAGCAGGTACCTTTAAATATGCATGCCCTTCTATTCAAAAAATTCATTAAATATGACTAATGATAAAAGAATAGGTATCTACGTACATGTAAATAAAACCAATACCTACCCTATATACAGTTATCGAACCATTCAGTTCTCATTTAATGCACTTTATATTGAATCTTATCTGACTATTAGTAAACACACCTATATCCATACTACTTTGGCATTTTAACGAACAAGAAATACATATATCAAATTTAGTCTACCTACTTCTTATAAAGCTTGAATTTAGGTATTTTATGGTTAAAGTGGGTGTTACATTAAAAATTCAAACGAGACGTCTTCTTCGGTTGTCTCAGAATAGGTATTTTTTGTGGATAAAATCGTGAGAAAATTAAAGTGAAGTTTGTTTGTAACGTTATAATATATGTAACACATGTGTATTAGTTGGTTAGTGGCGGGCATATGGGGCAATGTATATCCCGGAGTCATCCGGGTCCAACCTTCTCTCGACATTATGATGCCGAAAGCCTCGCCAGCAGTGCCGGCGGTACTAGCAGAAGGGTAAGTCGATATATTACTACTCTTAAATCCACTAGTTGGTTGTTTTATAGTTTAATGTAAATATTAGGACTAGGAAATTTATATAAAAACTAGGTCAAAAACTCACAGAAGTCGATAGTGACTCCCGCTCCGGTTCGTTCCTGGTGCAAAGGTTGGCCATTGCCATTCAACGCAATGTCAATGCATCAATATCAAATCTATGGTCAGATGGATATTAAACAGTTTCAAAAGTACAATCAATCAAAGTATCATCATTTTTAGACCTTAGAAGTAATGTCATAATTTACAAATATAAGCAGGTATACGTATATCAAATAAATGCAGTATAGAAAAAAGAAAGTAAATTAAAGTCAATGCACCACGATATAGGAGCACGAAGCTTCAAAGGCAGATATAAAGAAGTCCAGACAGCAAAAAAATTTCATGTCTACAGGTGTCTCAGGTAAGTATTTCAATATTGAAGTTTAGCACGAATATAAAGTATTCTCAGAAAAAGCGTTGGTAGGTATGTTTGCAAATTTAAATGCACTTACTCGTTTTCGAAGAATAATCTTACTGTTGTTATAAATGCCAAACTTGCGTAGAATTTATTTTACAACGAACTAAGTTCTGAGGTAACATACATATCTAAAAAAATATACAACCAAATTTAGAGACTAGGTTAAAAATATAAATAAAACACCAATACTACTCAATGTGTACCTAAACACTCGTGTGTCTCTGATATCGGTTTAAGTTATTTTTGTATTAGTTATCACTGATAGGGACATACTCTATAAAAAGTTAAAAGT